TAGAAAACTACAGTTTGTCCAACCTCATGAATTTTTTTATTTTTTTTTATTAACTGGATTTTCACTGAATTATTGAAATGTTAATTATGTCTCCCTGATAGGATTGTCTCCCTTTTATTTATCTTTCACTTTAGAGGCTTTTACATACAATCACTTTGTTTCAAATTTTCCAATTTCATAAAGTTGTAATGAAAATCCAAATATCTTGGTGAGGAAAATGTTCAAAAACCTTGTCAAGTGTCTCAATTTTAGGTTGCATCCCAGCAGTCATTCAAAAGAGGAAGCAAACGTTTAGTCACAGTAACTAAAGTATAGTGCTGCTGTGCTTGCCAGTAGTCAGTACACAGGAGCTAAAACATATATAGGTGTACTGAATTGTATAGGTGTGATACAGGTAATAATACCTCTTACCTATAAATATTCATACAGGTATCCATGGCTAATGGATGATGAAATTGCTATTTAACGCCTGCATACACTTCAGTAGGCGACATTTTAACAATTTTACATGGTCAAATGGCTAGTTAGGGCCCTGTACATGTATCAGAGATACGGGTGCCCTATAGTAATCACTCTGTCTGTCTGTCTCTGTCTGTCTGTCTGTCTGTCCGTCCACAAATTTTGTTCCTGGCTGATAACTTTTGTATTTATTGACCGATGTACATGAAACTTAGTCAAGATGTTCAGTACACAAAAATACATGTTGAGGTAAAAAGTCAAGGTCAAAGGTTAAGGTCATTAGGTTCAAAGGTCAAGGTCAAATTTTGCATCTTTTCACTGATGAACATTTTGTTATGACATTATGAAGCAAAGTTGATCAGAATTAAACAAGAAGTCAACTGACCAAAGGTCAAAGTCATCGGGTCAGCGGTCAAGGTCAAATTTTGTAGCTTTTCACTGGTGAACATTTTGCTTTGACATTATGAAGCATAGTTGTTCGGAATTAAACAAAGAGACACACTGAGGTAAAAAGTCGAGGTCAAAGGTCAAGGTCATTAGATGCAAAGGTCAAGGTCAAATTTTACATCTTTTCACCGATGAACATTTTGTTATGACATGATGAAGCAAAGTTGATCAGAATTAAACAAGGAGTCAACTGACCAAAGGTCAAGGTCATTGGGTCAAAGGTGAAGGTTAAATTTTGTACCTTTTCCCTGATGAACATTTTGTTATGACATTATGAAGCAATGTTGTTCAGAACTTAACACAGAGTCATCTGGCCTTAGGTCCAGGTTACGTGGGTCCAAAGGGTCAAGGTCAAGTTTTGTATTTTTTTACTTTGGGTCCAAAGGTCACTTTGACCCTGGCTTTTGATGGAGTAGGTATATAAGGTGAAATAAAACAAATCAAAGCTAACAAAGGAGTATTGCACCATTATTTACATTTCTGTTAGCCCAGCAAATATGGAGGTGGAAGGAAATGACTCGCATCATAGTACATGTAAAATGTATATTTTGCTTCCTTGCAATTCTTTTTGAAGTCCAAATGTCAAACGTCAAGCTCAGCTATATGGGCAAATTGCATCTTGATGATTATGGGGGATATATATTGCCACAAGACGGGGCCCTTACTGACCTGTCAGTGTTCTAGTTTGCTTACTCCTCTGTGAGCATGGTTTTTGAGGTTGTTGTTTGGGTCAGTCTTCAATATATTTTAATGTTACATGATTGCATTGATAGCTATTTTATGACTGCTGAAAACAAATTTATCTAAAACTTCAATACTGAACAAGGCCACAAACTTTAACCTATCCCAGACCACTATATCTACCTGTCCATTTATTTGTATTCATTCAAACTGTCTGGTACTGGTAATCAGTGATATATACAACTGTTTGAAGCTACATTAAGGTTGATTTAAGATGGACATACATCCTGTGGCTCCAACATTTCTAAGTGTAACTTTCAAATTAATAGGAAAAATATTTTCGTTAAAGTGCCTAATAAATTGAAGTTTTATAGACATGCCTGGTTTTGCCTTGTTTGCTTCAAATTTCTTTAATGCAATATTTGTAAAAAGAAATTTAATTTAATTTTCAACCTGAGATAAATTTAGTAACCCGCAATGTGATACAAGCCTATTGGGCCTCTTGTCATATATGTATATGATTGAGTAATTAGGTGACAACATACTAGGATATGCTATTGAGTTTGAAGTGCTTCGTTACTTTATACAAGGTCAGTTTTAGACTGGTCACTTCTGGGTGTTGACCTATTGAATTGACCACTTATGTCTACCTAACTCCACATCCTTGCTAGATCTACACAAGGTTTAGCAGCGTAAAATACACAAAATCACAACCAACTGGCTACCATATACACAAAACACCAAATCAAATTGTCAAAATTTGTATCCAAAATGAGTCAGTTGTCCTGTCAAAATGTAAGTGAATAATGTCACAACCATTGAATGTGACGGAGTGCACTACTACAGCATAAGTGGTCGCAGTGATACATATATACGTAAAAAGGAAATCTCTGCTGTCTGCCTCGAGGTAAAACTTCCTAGTGTAACAGAAACAAATAATACTAGGAAAGAAATATCTCACGAAACATGACCCCACAAAAAACACATGTGACGTATATATATAATACAAACTTTGATAGGCTTGTTATCTATTGGTTTATGCTAGTTGTATTAAGTATGTCTTCCTAAAAACTACATTACAATTTTCATGAATATACATAAAGGACGAGCTATTGCACTAAAATTAATATCTCCTGTTATAAATAGCTTTAAAATCTTTTTTTTTTAAATTGCAAATCATATGAGTCATTGATATTTTAAGGCAGTCAAAGTGGTCGAGTGATTTGCTGATAACTACGACTTCCCCCTAAATGTCTACTGACTACATAATAAGTTGACATTTACTGCCCCAATCAGTACTGGTAATTTTAGGTTGTTTATGGGGTTTTGTTTACCAAGTCTATTGTGTATATATATATATATAAAGATGTATGCTTGTATCAACTGGACAAGGATATGAAATACAGCATATACAGAACATACCAGGTACATCTATTGAGTTTAAATGAAAGGACTGCACAGAAGGAGCCTTGACAGCTGAAGTTGAAAAGTACTTTATATAAGATTAATTTTTAATATATTACAAATTAGTTTCTTTAAGTTAAGATTTTTTCTTGAACCGTTATCAATGATATCAAATGGAAAAATGTATGTTAAAGATTTTCCATAAGTTAAGGGTGATTATAAACTTGGTGTAGGGAAACTGATTTAAAAGAAACATTAGAGGAAAGAGAGATCAAGCTTCCCCATATGGTACCATTTGTATCATTTATGAATATTTCTAGTTGCAACCACTTGATAAATGTGGTCCCCAGACACAGTATACTGAGTCAGAGTGGCTATGCCTCCAAGAAGGTAACTACCGGGTGTGTTGCCCCAGATGTATGCTCTGTGAAATTGTATACAAGGGGTCTATGGTGAAAATATTATAATATCCACCTTGAATCACAAAAACAGTGGTGGGTCTCCATACATGGTTGCTTTTGTATTGTGGTGAAAATATTTTTATTGATGAGAAAGCCACTCGTACAGGTATCATATAGCCTGTTAACACCTGATATAGAAAGAACTGTAAAAATATGGTATAATTTCCTGTTCAGTTTCATTCAACATGTTGTTGAAATTCAGGTGTATGATCCTGTAAAACTGGAATAGTTTAATTAGACAATTTGTCAGTCGTCAAAATGAGGGATTATGACTAATACATGATATATACTGTATAACTTGATCAACGTATTATACATGTACATTTGAAGAGCCATTACGAACCTATGAGATTTGATTGATATATTATACAATATCATATACATTTTCCCAATATGAGCCTACATCTATCTCATGTCAAGACATGCAGTTTTTAATTTTGACTTAAAACAAACCCAGTTATTTCTGACAATTACACAAATTGATAACTTGTTTATTGGGAGTTCTACGTTTTAGGAAAGCTAAGTGAGTGGTGAGAATTGTGTGAACATGTGATGGGCCACTTGATTATATTTAAGTACCATCACACGGGGATGTCACAACTGAACTTGGACACTGAATCCTGGCTCTTAACCGGGTCATATTCTCACTGTGAGAGGAGCATAGTTCTATTTGTGTCAACTTGCATTGAAATCTACAGGAACAATTTGAAAAGTACATTGTATCTTCAAAAATAAAACAAAAATGTTGCAAGCTTTGTAAGCTTATCTATTTATTGATGGATGATTCCCCAGATATATTTTAAAAGCATATTAGTTCTCATAAAAGCAGAGATAATGTTCTTCACTGTCATAAGTTATGTAGTTCAGTGATACATCTCGTCAGTAAGTTATGTAGTTCAGTGATACATCTCGTCAGTAAGTTATATAGGTCAGTGATACATCTCGTCAGTAAGCTATATAGGCCAGCGATACATCTTGTCAGTAAGTTATATAGGTCAGCAATACATCTCGTCAGTAAGTTATATAGGTCAGCGATACATCTCGTCAGTAAGTTATATGGTCAGAGATACATCTCGTCAGTAAGTTATATAGGTCATTGATACATCTCGTCAGTAAGTTATATGGTCAGAGAAACATCTCGTCAGTAAGTTATATAGGTCAGTGATACATCTCGTCAGTAAGTTATGTAGTTCAGTGATACATCTCGTCAGTAAGTTATATAGGTCAGCGATACATCTCGTCAGTAAGTTATATAGGTCAGCGATACATCTCGTCAGTAAGCTATAAAGGTCAGCGATACATCTCGTCAGTAAGTTATATGGTCAGAGATACATCTCGTCAGTAAGTTATGTAGGTCAGCGATACATCTCGTCAGTAAGTTATAAAGGTCAGCGATACATCTCGTCAGTAAGCTATATAGGTCAGCAATACATCTAGTCAGTAAGTTATATAGGTCAGCAATACATCTCGTCAGTAAGCTATATAGGTCAGCGATACATCTCGTCTATGTGATTACATTGTACATTTTTGTACCATTGTATTTTCCAGGATGACATGAACTTGACAGAAGAGAAGAAAGACCCTCTCCGAAAAAAAGACCTCAACCTCAAGAGGTCTATGTTAGCCATGCAGTGGAAGGGAGCAGTAAAGGTAAACTAGGTCACAGCAAGGTCATCTTTAAACAATCCGTCAAGGTCAGGAAGGTCAAAATGAAAGTAAAGTAGTTCACAGCCAAGTCATTTTTAGCTCACCTGGCACGAAGTGCCAAGTGAGCTTATGCCGTGGCGCGGCGTCCGTCGTCCGTCCGTCGTCCGTCTGTCCGTCCGTCCTCGTCCGTCAACTTTTCCTTTAAACAAATTCTTCTGAAGTACGGACAGGCCTAGAGTCATGATATTTGGTTGAAAGTATCGTTGGTAGGAGCCCTACAAAGTTTGAGAACGAAAATGACCTTGACCTGTTTTCAAGGTCACAGGGGTCACATATGTCAAAAACTTCAAACGACTTCTTCTAAAGAACTGAAANGTAGGTCAGCGATACATCTCGTCAGTAAGTTATAAAGGTCAGCGATACATCTCGTCAGTAAGCTATATAGGTCAGCAATACATCTAGTCAGTAAGTTATATAGGTCAGCAATACATCTCGTCAGTAAGCTATATAGGTCAGCGATACATCTCGTCTATGTGATTACATTGTACATTTTTGTACCATTGTATTTTCCAGGATGACATGAACTTGACAGAAGAGAAGAAAGACCCTCTCCGAAAAAAAGACCTCAACCTCAAGAGGTCTATGTTAGCCATGCAGTGGAAGGGAGCAGTAAAGGTAAACTAGGTCACAGCAAGGTCATCTTTAAACAATCCGTCAAGGTCAGGAAGGTCAAAATGAAAGTAAAGTAGTTCACAGCCAAGTCATTTTTAGCTCACCTGGCACGAAGTGCCAAGTGAGCTTATGCCGTGGCGCGGCGTCCGTCGTCCGTCCGTCGTCCGTCTGTCCGTCCGTCCTCGTCCGTCAACTTTTCCTTTAAACAAATTCTTCTGAAGTACGGACAGGCCTAGAGTCATGATATTTGGTTGAAAGTATCGTTGGTAGGAGCCCTACAAAGTTTGAGAACGAAAATGACCTTGACCTGTTTTCAAGGTCACAGGGGTCACATATGTCAAAAACTTCAAACGACTTCTTCTAAAGAACTGAAAGGTATAGAATCTTCATATTTGGCTGATGGCTTCCTGGGATAGAGCCCAACAAAGTTTGAGAATGAAAATGACCTTGACCTACTTTCAAGGTCACAGGGGTCAAATGTGTCAAACACTTCAAACGACTTCTTCTGAAGAACTGAAAGGTATATAATCTTTATATTTGGCTGGTGGCTTCCTGGGATAGAGCCCAACAAAGTTTGAGAATGAAAACTAGTTTGACCTACTTTCAAGGTCACAGGGGTCATATATGTCAAAAGCTTCAAATGACTTCTTCTGAAGAACTGAAAGGTATAGAATCTTTATTTTTGATTGATGGCTTCCTTGGATAGAGCCCGACAAAGTTTGAGAATGAAAATGACCTTGACCTTCTTTCAAGGTCACAGGAGTCAAATGTGTCAGACACTTCAAACGACTTCTTCTGAAGAACTGAAAGGTATATAATCTCTATATTTGGCTTGTAGCTTCCTAGGAAAGAGCCGAACAAAGTTTGAGAATGAAAATGACCTTGACCTTCTTTTAAGGTCACATGAGGCAGATATGTCAAACACTTTAAACGACTTCTTCTGAAGAACTGGTAGTTATAAAATCTTAATATTTGGCAGGTGGCTTCCTGGGAAAGAGCCAAACAAAGTTTGCGAATGAAAATGACCTTGACCTACTTTCAAGGTCACAGCGTTCAAATATGTCAAACAGTTCAAACAGCTTCTTCTGAAGAATTAAAAGGCATAAAATTATAATATTTGGCTGGTGACTTCCCGGGATAGAGCTCACCAAAGTTTGCAAATGAAAATGACCTCAACCTACTTTAGAGGTCACAGAGGTCAACAACATTTTAATGGATTTGTTCTTGAGAACTAAAAGGAATGGATTCATAAGATTTGGCTGGTAGCTTTTTGGAATAGAGCTAACCAATTTGAGAAGGAAAATGACATTGACCTACTTACAAGATCACAGGGAAAAATATGTCAAGCAACTTCTGAAGAAGAATCTAAAAGCATAGAATCTTATAATAATATTTTGCTGGTAGTTTCAACAGATGGAGCCAACAAAGATTGCGAGGGAAATATTTTTAGTGCAATATAATATTTAATGAGAATATTTTGCTATGACTGCTTAAATATTCAGGTGAGCGATACAGGCCCTCTTTGGCCTCTTGTTAACAATTAATCTGTAAAGGTCAGGGAGGTCATTATAAAGGTAAAGCAGGTCACAGAAAGGATTTTAAACTGTCAATATGTAAAGGTCATGAAGTTCATAATAAGTTAAAAGTAGGTCAAAGCAAAATTGAATTAGCTATCAACAAAAAAAGTCAGGAAAGTCATGGTTAAGGTAAGGTCATAAGGTCATATAATGTAACCTTGTATGTGTTGGTCAAATAAATATATATATTGTACACAAGAGAAACTTAGAGAAAAAATAAAAGGTTTTCCTGTAAAAGAATAGATTTCAAAAATGTAACATGAAAAAGATAGATATGATTTTGTTTTCTGCACATTGAAATTTTTTCATTCATATTTAAGGGGAAATTGTTTATGTTTACAGAAAAGTGGTGACCTAGATAGTGCTGGAAGTTTTGTCGCTGAATTAAGGAATGCAGATCTGAAAGGAGAAAAACGATTGAGGGTGCTGGAATCTCTGAGAGTGTCACTCACAAGTAACCCTGTCAGGTTTGTTATCTCTAAGGTTTGCAACTTTGCAGTCACAAGTAACCCTATAGGGTTTGTAATCTCTAACGGTTGCAGTCATAAGTAACCATGTGAGGGTTGTAATCTCTAAGGGTTGCTGTAAAAAATAATCCTGCGAGGTTTGTAATCTCTAAGGGTTGCTGTAACAAGTAACCCTGTCAGGTCTGTTATCCCTGAAGGTTGCTGTAACAAGTAACGTTGTCAGATCTGTAATCTCTATAGGTTGTCGTAACAAGTTACCCTGTCAGATCTGTTATCTCTGAAGGTTGCTGTAACAAGTAACCCTGTCAGATCTGTAATCTCTATAGGTTGCTGTAACAAGTAACACTGTCAGATCTGTTATCTCTACAGGTTGCTGTAACAAGTAACCCTGTCAGATCTGTAATCTCTAAGGGTTGCTGTAACAAGTAACCCTGCCAGATCTGTTATATCTTGCTGTAAGAAGTAACCCTGCCAGATCTGTTATATCTTGCTGTAAGAAGTAACCCTGCCAGATCTGTTATCTTTTGCTGTAAGAAGTAACCCTGTCAGATCTGTTATCTGTAAGGGTTACAGTCACAAGTAAACCTGCCAGATCTGTTATCTCTTGCTGTAAGAAGTAACCCTGCCAGATCTGTTATATCTTGCTGTAAGAAGTAACCCTGCCAGATCTGTTATATCTTGCTGTAAGAAGTAACCCTGTCAGATCTGTTATCTCTAAGGGTTTGCTGTAAAAGGTCTGTAATCTTAGAGTTAGTCACCTGTATATGACCCTACCCTGTCTATAATCTTAGAGGTAGTCACCTGTATATCACCCTACCCTGTCTATAATCTTAGAGGTAGTCCCCTGTATATGACCCTACCATGTCTATAATCTTACAGGTAGTCACCTGTATATGACCCTACCCTGTCTATAATCTTATAGGTAGTCACCTGTATATGACCCTACCATGTCTATAATTTTAGAGGTAGTCACCTGTATATGACCCTACCATGTGTATAATCTTAGAGCTAGTCACCTGTATATGACCCTACCATGTCTATAATTTTAGAGGTAGTCACCTGTATATGACCCTACCATGTCTATAATCTTACAGGTAGTCACCTGTATATGACCCTACCCTGTCTATAATCTTATAGGTAGTCACCTGTATATGACCCTACCATGTCTATAATCTTACAGGTAGTCACCTGTATATGACCCTACCCTGTCTATAATCTTAGAGTTAGTCACCTGTATATGACCCTCCCCTGTCTATAATCTTAGAGGTAGTCACCTGTATATGACCCTCCCCTGTCTATAATCTTAGAGGTAGTCACCTGTATATGGCCCTACCCTGTCTATAATCTTAGAGGTAGTCACCTGTATATCACCCTACCCTGTCTATAATCTTAGAGGTAGTCCCCTGTATATGCCCCTACCATGTCTATAATCTTAGAGGTAGTCACCTGGATATGACCCTACCATGTCTATAATCTTAGAGGTAGTTACCTGTATATGACCCTTCCATGTCTATAATCTTAGAGGTAGTCACCTGTATGTGACCCTTCCATGTCTATAATCTTAGAGGTAGTCTCCTGTATACGACCCTACCATGTCTGTAATCTTAGAGGTAGTCACCTGTATACGACCCTGCCATGTCTATAATCTTAGAGGTAGTCACCTGTATACGACCCTACCATGTCTATAATCTTAGAGGTAGTCACCTGTATACGACCCTACCATGTCTATAATCTTAGAGGTAGTCACCTGGATATGACCCTACCATGTCTATAATCTTAGAGGTAGTTACCTGTATATGACCCTTCCATGTCTATAATCTTAGAGGTAGTCTCCTGTATACGACCCTACCATGTCTGTAATCTTAGAGGTAGTCACCTGTATATGACCCTCCCCTGTCTATAATCTTAGAGGTAGTCACCTGTATATGCCCCTACCATGTCTATAATCTTAGAGGTAGTCACCTGGATATGACCCTACCATGTCTATAATCTTAGAGGTAGTCAGCTGTATATGACCCTACCATGTCTATAATCTTAGTGGCAGTCACCTGTATATGACCCTACCATGTCTATAATCTTAGTGGCAGTCACCTGTATATGACCCTACCATGTCTATAATCTTAGAGGTAGTCACCTGTATATGACCCTTCCATGTCTATAATCTTAGAGGTAGTCACCTGTATGTGACCCTTCCATGTCTATAATCTTAGAGGTAGTCACCTGTATACGACCCTACCATGTCTGTAATCTTAGAGGTAGTCCCTACCATGTCTAAAATATGTGAGAGAATGCCTCATACAGATTTATGTTAACTTGTTGTTCAGATTGCTTGTGTTAATTAAGTAATCATATGTTTGTTTTTATGTTACAGTTGGGTGAGTGAGTTTGGACTGAATGGCCTGAACGCTATCCTGAGGAATCTTACATACTGCTGTGATTCGTAAGTATTAAGCAGTCACAGGTAGAGCATTGCATCCCTTTGGCTAACCGTACTGGCGTTTTACCCACGTAATGTTTATAAATGTTAAGTTTTTTTCACTGCAAGAAACTTTTAAGTATAAATTAGTATGGTGTTTCAGTAGAGCAGCACTGTAAAGTTGGCTTCAGATCTGCGTTATAACATGTACGCAAATACACCAACATATTACCACCTCCAACACAAACACATACACCAACAGATTACCACCTCCAACACAAGCACATACACCAACATATTACCTCCCCCAACACAAACACATACACCACAATATTACCACCTCCAACACCCACACATACACCAACATATTACTACCTCCAACACAAACACATTCACCAACATATTACCACCTCAAACACAAACACATACACCAAGATATTACCACCTCCAACACGAACACATACACCAACATATAACCACCTCCAACACAAACACATTCACCAACATATTACCACCTCAAACACAAACACATACACCATCAAATTACCACCTCCAACACAAGCACATACGCCAACATATTACCACCTCCAGTAGTCACCTGTATATGACCCTTCCATGTCTATAATCTTAGAGGTAGCCACCTGTATATGACCCTCCCCTGTCTATAATCTTAGAGGTAGCCACCTGTATATGACCCTCCCCTGTCTATAATCTTAGAGGTAGTCACCTGTATCCGACCCTACCATGTCTATAATCTTAGAGGTAGCCACCTGTATATGACCCTCCCCTGTCTATAATCTTAGAGGTAGTCACCGGTATATGACCCTACCATGTCTGTAATCTTAGAGGTAGTCCCTTGTATACGACCCTACCATGTCTGTAATCTTAGAGGTAGTCCCTACCATGTCTAAAATATGTGAGAGAATGCCTCATACAGATTTATGTTAACTTGTTGTTCAGATTGCTTGTGTTAATTAAGTAATCATATGTTTGTTTTTATGTTACAGTTGGGTGAGTGAGTTTGGACTGAATGGCCTGAACGCTATCCTGAGGAATCTTACATACTGCTGTGATTCGTAAGTATTAAGCAGTGACAGGTAGAGCATTGCATCCCTTTGGCTAACCGTACTGGCGCTTTACCCACGTAATGTTTATAAATGTTAAGTTTTTTTCACTGCAAGAAACTTTTAAGTATAAATAAGTCTGGTGTTTCTGTAGAGCAGCACTGTAAAGCTGGCTTCAGATCTGCGTTATAACATGTACTCAAATACACCAACATATTACCAGCTCCAACACAAACACATACACCATCATATTACCACCTCCAACACAAACACACACAACAACAAATAACAACCTCCAACACAAACACATACGCCAACATATTACCACCTCCAAAACAAACACATACACCAACAGATTACCACCTCCAACACAAGCACATACACCAACATATTACCATCTCCAACACAAACAAATACACCAACATATTACCATCTCCAACACAAACAAATACACCAACATATTACCACCCCCAACACAAACACATACGCCAACATATTACCACCTCCAATACAAACACATACACCAACATATAACCACCTCCAACACAAACAGAATAACCATCATATTACCACCTCCAACACAAGCACATACACCAACATATTACAACCTCCAACACAAACACATTCACCAACATATTACCACCTCGAACACAAACACATACACTAACATATCACCACCACACACACAAACACATACACCAACAAATTACCACCTCCAACACAAACACATACACCAACATATTACCACCTCCAACACAAACACATACACTACACATATGGAGGCACTTCTTGAAAGGACCTTCACTGTTAATAGGACGCTTAACTCAATAAATCAATCAAAACCAAGCTTATCATGTATGATGAGAATCCTTAGGATTCATCTGTTAAATATACACATACGTTTTAGCTTGAAGAAAAGCTATTCAGCCTGATATTAATTTCGCCATTTAAATGTTACCTAACAACCATTTGTCATGTTGTTTCAGTAAAACAGAGAGGAAGAGTACCTATGAGTGTGTACGATGTCTGAAGGCATACATGAACAACAAAGTAAGTTATCGGTGATTAGTCAAACATGTATGGTCACTGACATGTGTGTTGTTGTTTCTTCTTTACCTTAGGGTTCAGACTTTAAGTAGGATAATTTTTAAGGTCACAGTATAGTGTTAAATCACATTAATCAAGGTTTGGAAGTACATGTATGGAAAACTTAACTCCTATGTTTAGATGTTATAAAGTGGCAAGTTAATATTATGATACAATATTTGCATTGCAACTGGAGTTATTTAAATGATAGACTTTTCGTTGATATGATGTTAGTACCAGCTAATTTTCACCAATTTCTATTTGTTATACAGCTTGTTACTGTATTTATGGTACAGCCTTCATCGTTGATGCTTTTTGTCTTTCCAGTGTGGATTGGTGAACATAATTAACCATGAAGAGGCACTGACGATACTCTCACGGACAGTTGACCCCTCCGACCCCAATACCATGTTGGAGGCAGTTCGACTGCTGGCTGCTGTATGTTTGGTACCCCCAGACGGGTAAGGTCATAATCTACGTCATTGACAACTAGGTATATGTCTGTTCTTTTTGTGTGGATAATTGGGTCAAGTTTTTCAATGTCTATAGGAGATTCACAACAGTTATTAGTCCTCCTCTGGTACTACTGCAGAGGACTACAGGTTGTCAATTGATCCATCAGTCAGTCATTTCATCAATTTGTCCAGGTTACCTGGTAATTTAGCACCTCTGATTGCCAAATTTTGTGAAACACTATGTTGTTCCACTTTCTACAGATTTATGGCTATTTGTTCATTATTCATACCAAAGTTTGTCCAGATGAGAGGTTCATTATTCATACCAAAGTTTGTCCAGATGAGAGGTTCATTATTCATACCAAAGTTTGTCCAGATGAGAGGGATTATGGACTGTATGCAATACTTTGTTTTGTTTCTCAACATTAAATTATGTATTTTGTCTGACTGAGCTAAACCAAATAGAAAAATCAAAATCCTATTTCACAAATGCCTACAATTTTAAATGTTTTTGTTTAAAGCCATGAGAAGGCCTTGGAGGGTATCACAGTGTGTGGAGAGATACGAGCGAGGGACCGCTTTATTCCAGTTATTATGGGGCTGGGTATGAGAGACAACCAGCCCATGCAAGTGGCCTGTATACAGCTGGTTAACGCCATTATTAGTACCCCTGATGACCTAGATTTTAGGATACACCTCCGCAACGAATTCATGCGCACAGGACTTATAGACCTTATAGGGGTAAGGCAAATATAAAACAGTGATTCCAGACTGAATTGACATGAAGGACCCTGTCTTACAAATGTTTCTTATCTTATAGAAATTTCTTAACTTAAAATTTTCCCTAAGAAAATATTACTTTGGGTCCTATGTGGATAAGCTAGGTTATCACACTCACTTCAGATCTTAAAGGGTAATAAGAGCAAGCACAGACAGTCTCAAATACATTGATCCAACCTTTCCCCAACTCCAAGAAATGGAAAATTGAAAGAGGCTGGCAAATTGCTGCCATTGATCAAAGCTTTCTTAGTTTAACATGTTTAAAATAAAACAGTTATTCACAGACATTTCAATTATTTCATGTTTCTGGTCTCTTAACACCATTTTAGATAAAGCTTTTGTTATACTTGTCAGAATAAATGAAACAGTAACAACAGAAATGTCTACTTTCAGTGGCTAGATAAACAGGAAGATGATGAGTTGAAGACGCACGTACAGATTTTCCATGACCATAAAGAGGAAGACTTTGAGGAATTTTCACATCGATATGACAATGTCAGAATAGAATTTGAGTATCCTTTTATATGTAAAATAGTCAAGAGAAGAAGTGCAAAAAAGTTATTTTACTACAATTTCTTAAACAAAATATTCTTTAAATTTGGAGATATTTAAATATCACTGAGTAGAAAATTAACCAAACCATAGGAAATTGTATTTATTTGTTTGATCAAAAGCACCAAAGGTGTCCATAACTGTTATTTAAAAAGAATATTTGCCATTTGTTACCAATATATTTCCTGAGCGTTACCAGGGATACACGGCAGTGTTTTGAGCTGGTGGCCAACTCTGTTAAGGACACCATTGCTGAACCCTACTTCCTGTCCATCATGCAGCATCTCCTGTGTATCCGTGACGACGTGTACTCTAGGTAACTGTATAGAAATTTAGTACAATGCAGATTAATGAATTCCAAAGTACATGGACAACATGACAGAATCTAGCTTGTAGGTGAATTTGTTCCTGCCTACACACCCTGGAATAAATTCACCTACCAGCAAGAGTCTTCCGTGTTGTCCACGTTCTTTCGAAATTCATTTACAAGCTATAAGTGGTGATCTGCATGCTACAAGTATCTGCGGCGGTAATCATCAGATTTGTACCAGATATTCAACTTAAAAGGGACGTTGAGTCTCCTAGTGATTTTTCCAACCCTTCTGGAGTGATTCATGTAGATCAATTAAAACCTGTAAACATTGCACATTACATACAGCAAATTCTGCAGTAGATTCTAGGTGTAAAAGTTCTGTTGACATTGAAAGGAAAATTTCATGATTTTTTTATTTTTTTATATGATCAACCGTATTTCATTTAAAACCTTTCTTAATCAGAAATATTCCATACTCAGTAGATTGACTGTCAGTATACTATTTAACTCTCCAGGCCACAGTACTACAGTAGATTGACTGTCAGTATACTATTTAACTCTCCAGGCCACAGTACTACAGCAGATTGACTGTCAGTATACTATTTCACTTTCCAGGCCACAGTACTACAGTAGATTGACTGACAGTATACTATTTAACTTTCCAGGCTACAGTACTACAGTAGATTGACTGTCAGTATACAATTTAACTTTCCAGGCCACAGTACTACAGTAGATTGACAGTCAGTATACTATTTAAGTTTCGAGGCCACAGCACTACAGTAGATTGACTGTCAGTATACTATTTACCTTTCCAGGCCACAGTACTACAGCAGATTGACGGTCAGTATACTATTTAACTTTCCAGGCCACAGTACAACAGTAGATTGACTGTCAGTATAATATTTAACTTTCCAGGCCACAGTACTACATCAGGTTGAATGTCAGGATACTATTTAACTTTCCAGGCCACAGTACTACAGGAGATTGACTGTCAGTATACTATTTAACTTTCCAGTCCACAGTACTACATCAGATTGAATGTCAGTATACTACTTAACTTTCCAGGCCACAGTACTACAGTAGATTGACAGTCAGTATACTATTTAAGTTTCGAGGCCACAGCACTACAGTAGATTGACTGTCAGTATACTATTTAGCTTTCCAGGCCACAGTACTACAGTAGATTGACAGTCAGTATACTATTTAAGTTTCGAGGCCACAGCACTACAGTAGATTGACTGTCAGTATACTATTTACCTTTCCAGGCCACAGTACTACAGCAGATTGACTGTCAGTATTCTATTTAACTTTCCAGGCCACAGTACTACAGAAGATTGACTGTCAGTATACTATTTAACTTTCGAGGCCACAGTACTACAGTAGATTGACTGTCAGTCTACTATTTAACTTTCCTGGCCACAGTACTACATCAGATTGACTGTCAGGATACTATTTAACTTTCCAGGCCACAGTACTACAGCAGATTGACTGTCAGTATTCTATTTAACTTTCCAGGCCACAGTACTACAGAAGATTGACTGTCAGTATACTATTTAACTTTCCAGGTCACAGTACTACAGTAGATTGACTGTCAGTATACTATTTAGCTTTCCAGGCCACAGTACTACAGTAGATTGACAGTCAGTATACTATTTAAGTTTCGAGGCCACAGCACTACAGTAGATTGACTGTCAGTATACTATTTAGCTTTCCAGGCCACAGTACTACAGTAGATTGACTGTCAGTATCCTATTTAACTTTCCAGGCCACAGTACTACAGTAGGTTGACTGTCAGTATACTATTTAACTTTCCAGGCTACAGTACTACAGCAGATTGACTGTCAGTATACTATTTCACTTTCCAGGCCACAGTACTACAGCAGATTGACTGTCAGTATTCTATTTAACTTTCCAGGCCACAGTACTACAGAAGATTGACTGTCAGTATACTATTTAACTTTCGAGGCCACAGTACTACAGTAGATTGACTGTCATTATACTATTTAACTTTCCAGGCCACAGTACTACATCAGGTTGAATGTCAGGATACTATTTAACTTTCCAGGCCACAGTACTACATCCGATTGACTGTCAGTATACTATTTAACTTTCCAGGCGACAGTACTACAGTAGATTGAATGTCAGTATACTATTTAACTTTCCATGCCACAGTACTACATCAGATTGACTGTCAGTATACTATTTCACTTTCCAGGCCACAGTACTACAGCAGATTGACTGTCAGTATACTATTTAACTTTCCAGGCCACAGTACTACAAGTTGATAGAGGAGTGTGTAACCCAGATTGTCCTGCATCGGTCAGGGACTGACCCCGACTTCAGACACACAAAACGCTTTGAGGTGGATGTTGACCCTCTTTTAAGTAAGTCATTGGACAGAGAAAAGTGTACTAATTGTCTTTAGAGACAATAGACAATTTCCTCCTGAAAATCATTTATCTAATTATAGCAATTGTCTTTGAAAACTCTTACAAAACACTGACACATTGATGGTTCATTGAAGAACTGATGTAACTAGTGGTGCTACAAGACTTTTCAAAATTTGAAATTTAACTGGAAATGGAAAAGCGGAAAAAGAAATATTGGAATCGCGGATTGTAGATGATAGACAAGTGAAATGGTAAATACTGTATGGTCCTCATAATGAAATAAGTGTGTTGGTATACCTCTACCAGTCCATGACAACAATTTCTGTTTCTACAGGTAGCCTTGAAGACAAATCCAAATTTGAGGATGCAGAAGTCAGTATTGTTGAAATGAACTCTAAATTAGAAACAGCTATAACAGCTAAGCAGGAATATGAGGCCCGAGCTATGACACTCGAGGAGAGGGTGAAAAAATACGAGGAAGAACTTGTCACAATGAAAGAAAAAGTAAGTCACTGATGCTAACTTTATAGTGGTAAATTCCATTATAAGGAATTAATCTCTTAGCTTCCAATTCTTGTATATGTTTGTTGTATACAGAGTGTTGTGGTAATGCATGTGTAGATGAGTATTATATTGCTACAAGTAACAGCTGATTGCAAGCACTGCCTTTATTGGTGGTATTAAACCTACTAGTACACTAAACTCTTGGCATTCTGCCATCATTTGTGCAGTGAATTTCTGTCATTATAAAGGAGTGGGCAGTATATTCTAAATCACATAATTTCAAGTGATACACTCTCAGATTTAAACGAGGGACAAAGTATCAATGATTTAACTGTATAACTGTTGGAGTACATCCATCTAATGCAAATAAGGCACCCGCTGCATTTACACTGTACAACCTTTACTGACAGTAACAAAAACCTACTAATGAGAGATAACAGTGTATGGTGCTAGAGGTTTTCCGCTATGTGTACTATTATATAACGGGTAAAGGTTTGCAGTGGTTTTATTTTCAAGCTTTTTGCAGTAAGAAAAACGACAGTAGAACAATTTTGCTAGGATTTCTATTCAATTAAATGTGCATGCATGAAAAATATCCTCAGATTAGAGAAGAAATCAAAACTGACATTACTGTATGTTTCATTTTTGTTTTTATTAATTTTCATTTTTTTTCATTTATAAGAGTTGATATAATTAGACATGTTAAGACATTTCATTGAGTCATAAAGATAGAATAAGATAAACCAGTAATCACATCATAAATAGTAACTGTATGAATACAATTGATTAAGTCCATCTGGAAAAATTATACCTGGTCCATCAGGTTCCCCCCAATTTTACGCTATACTTCCCAGAGTAGAAGAGTAACACATTGTCAATTCAGCCTGTTATACAATAGAATGTGAAACGTTATGCAGTAGGTGAACTGTGGGTTTGATGGTGTGTGGGCAATACATTAATTAGCACTAAGGTTCTAATAAATTCAACCAGTTATTAATCGATTATTGAAGAAGTTAATTGATTTATTGATAGATTTACAGATACTTGGTATTTATTTCTAATAATTAGCGTTCATCTCGAAGATGGTTGAACCTCAGGCTCACTTAGATATATACTAACTACCATGTAATCACATGTCTAATAAACCAACTGTTTATATCAATTTATATTTACCAGTGTAATAATAAATATAAACAAGTTAATACATTGGTTTTGTCACTTATATTAACGGGGATAGCTTCAAAAATATTTAATATCAATGTATAAATTTATACATCTGGCATCTTTTTCTGTATCTAAATCCAAAACTAGTTTTATGTACCGGTAACATTGCACGCTAATGATCGCAACAGTTTTATATTAAACTGAAAACTATACTTTATTAATCTGAAAGTTTTACTTTTGTAACATGACTTGATATAGTAAACATATTAATCATAGAATAACTAAAAGTATAAATAAATTTGAGATAAATTGAAACTATCTTTTACATACCTTTAAAAAAAATAATTGAACAATTTGATATTAAATCAATGTTTTAATATGTCATTCAGTTGTATTTAAGATGAATTCAAAAATATCCTGTAAAATCCTCATATGATAAGTATTATGTGACCTAGTTTTTACAGTAGACAAGATGTCAAGCTAACAGATGATTGTTGTATATTCTGTTGTGGTGACATGTCCCTGCTTCCTTGCATGTTTCACAGGTAAAGTTGTATCAATTAACTAGTGTTAGTAGCGGTTCCGTCTCCGAGTCCAGTACCATGGACGGTCCTTGTGCAGAGGTAGTACAGATGCCATGCATGGCATTACTTTGACAACCTAACCAGCTGTGAGGCCATGGAACAAAAATTCATTAATTATTCTTTAAGTAAATTAATTACCTCCAGTTTTTTTTGATATTTTGTTTAAATCAGTAAAATACCCAAAACATTGAGAGAGAAAAATGGAGAAAAGTATGGTTTTAACTCGGGTGGGTTCCGTGAGTTTTAGCTTTCTACCACAGCTGGTAGGGAATGCTACTCTTTCAGTATTCATTATTTTAGCATGCTGTGCCTAATGCTTGGAATGTCTTTGTGTTTCAGTGGCTGGCTTTTAAATCTAACCATTAGGCGTTGTGTGTACAACAACTAGATTGGTGCAAGAGACTGATATGACTGACTTCTCTGTAAATCTTCTGTAACTTGGATTGTGAAACTGATGTATCTGTTCTTTATTTGTATATATGTAACTTGTATGATGTTTTCTTCTTGAATATATAAATTCAGATCAATTCTACAATATATAACATGTATAAAGGTAGCAAATAGGAAATGATATACTGTTATCATTTTAATTTTGGCAACTTCTGTTGTAAATATGAAAATGTACAGGCCGAATATCAATATTTAAAGCGACGACGTACTGTTTTACAAAAATTGGTCCTATAACATAGATTGCTTTTGCCGACAAACTTAATAAAGCTTTGCAGAGTTTTATGTTAGTTTGTCAGTTATAGTAATACATGTTAGCGGATGAGCACATCATTTACATTTTGATAGAGACGTAATTTTTGTTCAGTTAATTCAAATTTTAATGTCAGTTTGTAAACTTTTAAAAACAATAAAATCAGAGTTGTTGTCAAAATCAGAGCGGTGATTTCACTTGACCAAATTGTGTCATAATTTCATATCACATTTAGCATACTCTATGCACTGAAATAGGAGGGTACAGAGGAAAAGTTAATTATTACATTTTAAATGCCAAGCTTGATCGTCCATGTAAATCCTCCCCAAGTTCTGCCCGAGTTCACTGATCCATGTATGTATTAGCTACATACACTATTATACATTCGCTATGTATGCTGTTTCACTGTATACATTGCTGTTATAACACATGCTGGCTACAAATGTATCGAAACCACTACACTGACCCATTTTCATATCAATGTCTGACACCTTACCAAAGATTCAGGGGGAGATTACTCCTCCAACTTAAGTGTCAGTCACCATATAAATTACCCCAATATGTATGGTTTTAAGCTGAAATATTTCACCTAGTGTAAATATATACATTTACAGCATAAAAAAATGACATAATAAATCATTTTCACATATAAAATCACTACCACGGTTCCATAGAATCATATACAAACTTCTATATACCAGGTATAAACATGCATGCAAAGTTTGTCACTATTGAAAAAAAAGAAAACATTCTTAAAAATTCTGGATGCAAGACTAATTCAAAATTGTGAGTTTGTTTTTAAAAACATAACCATTTCCTGTTGTTTTCTGTTTAAACACAGATAATCTACTGCTGGCATGTGCATGTAAAAATAAACAAATCCGTTATTTCAAGATAAGCATATCAAGCATGACCAAACTAGATAGGAACGATGAGAAATTATATAACATGGTCCACACCTTTGTGTATGTAATTGTTTTATACCTAAATGTCCATGTCAGTACAATAACAAGTAAAGTTTATATCTTGGTATTGATTGTAAATAACGTAATCTTCACCTACATCAGGACGTTTATTCCTTCAACTTATTGGCACGGTTTTAACTTCTCGAAGACATCAACAGCAGTATGTTGTTAACATTTTGAAACTTGTGAAAACCTTTTTTTTTACAAATTTATGCAGTATACAATTTTGTGAAATGTGTATGATATAAAGTAAGCTAGAATGAGACCTTTCAACATTTTTTTAATTATTTTTTACCTTTCAACATCTTGTTAAATTCATTAGACAAATAGGTTGATAGTTGGTTAAATAATGTACATTTATTTCCGTGCTGATGATGAGAGTTGTAGAGAGTTCTGTAATTCACAGGCTTGTATTTCTAATGAGAATTCAGAATACTGATCCCATGTCCAGTGTATGGTGTGAACTGTCTTACGTAGTGTTTTTTCCTGATTCTCTATACTTTGTAGTGTATGTACCCACTGATGGGGGTATATACCACCCCAGTCCATTGCACCCTAAATTTGCTTTAAAACACCTCTATTGTAGAACCTACCCTAGTAATGTTAGCATTAATGCTTAAGGTTCTACTGTGCAGTGAGGCTAAGTCTTTGAGCAGTAATCATTTTCCCAGTTAGAAAAAAATCAAAGACTTCTAAATTAAATCAGAAAAATTTAGAATTTAAAAATCAGATGTTGATATGTTTGGATTTTACACTGACAATTTATGTTTATTTTCATTTCTCCATGATAACGGTCTAAAAGTATTTATAATCATATGTTGTATCTATATTTAACTTTCTCTTGGGTAATATGATATAGCATCAGTATATTTCTAAAACAAACACATTTTACATAATTGATCGGAATATATAATATTTAACTATTGATAAACACTGGTTTTCATTAATGCCATGATTTTAATATAAACTATAATCATACTGTGGAATAGTTTGATGAGATTTCCTATTTGAATAGAAAAAGTTTGAGGAAAGTAATTATTTTACTGTTTTACAAAAGATATCATGTGATGTAATGTGATATGAATGACCAGGTTTGTTTTGTAATTCCTGAAAATCTGTTATTCCTGTTTGGTGACAGATACTCAGAATCACATTGCTGTAGTAGGATAAAAGACATCGGTCTATATTGATATATTTATTTTTACATTACAGTTGCGACTGGGAATAGGAGATACGATAAGCAACTCCAAAGCATTGGGTGGCCCAGGGGGTGGACCTCCTCCCCCTCCACCTCCACCATTCCCTGGGGGTGGTCCCCCCGCTCCCCCTCCGCCCCCACCCCCTCCTGGTATGGGAGGTGGGCCACCTCCTCCACCACCCCCACCTATGTTTGGTGGTGGTATTCCCCCACCACCCCCTCCCCCTGGTATGGGTGGTCCTCCTCCGCCTCCCCCTCCCCCAGGGACTCCCCGACCCCCAGGGGCACCTCCTCCTCCCTTCAGCCCTGCCGCCCCATCCCCACCTGTAAACGTCTTACCACATGGAATGCAGCCCAAGAAAAAGTATGAAGTTGGAGCACAGACCAAGAGGATCAACTGGAATAAGGTAAGAGCACTTCTACTGTTCTGTATTTCTCTGTTGATGTGAAAAGACATACTTTTGGGGCAAGTGTTTTTATGCAAATGTGTATTAGAAACATTTTTAGGGCCACACTTGTAAACTGCTGTGTAATTACACCATCAATGCATTGTAAGGGCCAGTATCTGAGGGTATGGTGGCCCAGGTCTGAGGCCTAAGTGGGGCAGTCGCTAGGTACTGGCCGCAGTTCGGTGGTTTTCCTCCTGACACGCTGGTTCATTTACCACCATTCAAAACCTGGTACATTCTTACTAGTAAATGACCATAGCTGTTAAAACACAAACAAACTAAACTGATCTGTCACTGTACACTGTTGTGTAAAAATACATCATCAATACATTGTTGGGGCTAATATTCATTACTATACTGAGATATGTAATTATGAAAAGGAATAATCATTGAGGCCAGTATTTATTACTATTCGCTGTTTTATACACATCATTAAGGCTAGTATTTATTACTATTCGCTGCTGGACACATCAGTGAGGCCAGTATTTATCACTATTCCCTGCTTGATGTACATCATTGAGTCCAGTATTTATTACTAATCCCTGCTTGATACACATCATGGAGGCCAGTATTTATCACTATTCCCTGCTTGATCCACATCATTGAGGCCTGTATTTATTACTATTCGCTGCTGTATACACACCATTGAGGCCAGTATATATTACTATTCCCTGCAGGACACATCATTGAGCCCAGTATTTATTACTAATCCCTGCTTGATACACATCATGGAGGCCAGTATTTATCACTATTCCCTGCTTGATGTACATCATTGAGTCCAGTATTTATTAATATTCCCTGCTTGATACACATCATTGATCATTGAGGCCAGTTTTTATTACTATTCCCCGCTGGACACATCATTGAGCCCATTATTTATCCCTATTCCCTGCCTGATGTACATCATTGAGGCCATTATTTCTCCCTATTCCCTGGTTGATGTACATCATTGAGTCCAGTATTTATTAATATTCGGTGTATTATACACATCATTGAGACCAGTATTTATTACTCTTCCCTGCTGGATACACACCATTGAGGCCAGTATTGATTCCTATTCCCTGCTTGATACACATCATGGAGGCCAGTATTTATTTCTATTCGCTGTTTTATACACATCATTAAGGCTAGTATTTATTACTATGCCCTGCTGGATACACAGCATTGAGGCCAGTATGTATTACTATTCCCTGCGGGATACACATCATTGCGGCCAGTATTTATTACTCTTCCCTGCTGGATACCCATCATTGAGGCCATTATTTAACCCTATTCCCTGCTTTATACACATCATTGAGGCCATGAGGCCAGTATTTATTACTTTTCCCTGCTTGATACGCATCATGGACGCCAGTATTTATTACTTTTCCCTACTGGACCCATCATTGAGGCTAGTATTTATTTCTATTCGCTGTTTTATACAAATCATTGAGGCCAGTATTATTCCCTGCTGGATCCACATCATTGAGGCCGGTATTTATTACTATTACCTGCTGGATACACACCATTGAGGCCAGTATATATTACTATTCCCTGCATAACACATCATTGAGGCTTGTGTTTATTACTATTCCCCGCTGGACACATCATTGAGCCCAGTATTTATTACTCTTCCCTGCTGGATACCCATCATTGAGGCCAGCATTGAGGCCAGTATTATTCCCTGCTGGACACATCATTGAGGCCATTATTTATCCCTATTCCCTGCTTGATGTACATCATTGAGGCCAGTATTTATTACTATTCCCTGCTGGACACATCATTGAGGCCAGTATTTATTACTATTCCCTGCTGGATACACATCATTGAGGCCAGTATTTATTACTATTCCCTGCTGGATACACATCATTGAGGCCAGTATTTATTACTATTCCCTGCTGGATACACATCATTGAGGCCAGTATTTATTACTATTCCCTGCTGGATACACATCATTGAGGCCAGTATTTATTACTATTCCCTGCTGGATACACATCATTGAGGCCAGTATTTATTACTATTCCCTGCTGGATACACATCATTGAGGCCAGTATTTATTACTATTCCCTGCTGGATACACATCATTGAGGCCAGTATTTATTACTATTCCCTGCTGGATACACATCATTGAGGCCAGTATTTATTACTATTCCCTGCTGGATACACATCATTGAGGCCAGTATTTATTACTATTCCCTGCTGGATACACATCATTGAGGCCAGTATTTATTACTATTCCCTGCTGGATACACATCATTGAGGCCAGTATTTATTACTATTCCCTGCTGGATACACATCATTGAGGCCAGTATTTATTACTATTCCCTGCTGGATACACATCATTGAGGCCAGTATTTATTACTATTCCCTGCTGGATACACATCATTGAGGCCAGTATTTATTACTATTCCCTGCTGGATACACATCATTGAGGCCAGTATTTATTACTATTCCCTGCTGGATACACATCATTGAGGCCAGTATTTATTACTTTTCCCTGCTGGATACACATCATTGAGGCCAGTATTTATTACTATTCCCTGCTGGATACACATCATTGAGGCCAGTATTTATTACTATTCCCTGCTGGATACACATCATTGAGGCCAGTATTTATTACTATTCCCTGCTGGATACACATCATTGAGGCCAGTATTTATTACTATTCCCTGCTTGATACACATCATTGAGGCCAGTATTTATTACTATTCCCTGCTGGATACACATCATTGAGGCCAGTATTTATTACTATTCCCTGCTGGATACACATCATTGAGGCCAGTATTTATTACTATTCCCTGCTGGATACACATCATTGAGGCCAGTATTTATTACTATTCCCTGCTGGATACACATCATTGAGGCCAGTATTTATTACTATTCCCTGCTGGATACACATCATTGAGGCCAGTATTTATTACTATTCCCTGCTGGATACACATCATTGAGGCCAGTATTTATTACTATTCCCTGCTGGATACACATCATTGAGGCCAGTATTTATTACTATTCCCTGCTGGATACACATCATTGAGGCCAGTATTTATTACTATTCCCTGCTGGATACACATCATTGAGGCCAGTATTTATTACTATTCCCTGCTGGATACACATCATTGAGGCCAGTATTTATTACTATTCCCTGCTGGATACACATCATTGAGGCCAGTATTTATTACTATTCCCTGCTGGATACACATCATTGAGGCCAGTATTTATTACTATTCCCTGCTGGACACATCATTGAGGCCAGTATTTATTACTATTCCCTGCTGGATACACATCATTGAGGCCAGTATTTATTACTATTCCCTGCTGGATACACATCATTGAGGCCAGTATTTATTACTATTCCCTGCTGGATACACATCATTGAGGCCAGTATTTATTACTATTCCCTGCTGGATACACATCATTGAGGCCAGTATTTATTACTATTCCCTGCTGGATACACATCATTGAGGCCAGTATTTATTACTATTCCCTGCTGGATACACATCATTGAGGCCAGTATTTATTACTATTCCCTGCTTGATACACATCATTGAGGCCAGTATTTATTACTATTCCCTGCTTGATACACATCATTGAGGCCAGTATTTATTACTATTCCCTGCTTGATACACATCATTGAGGCCAGTATTTATTACTATTCCCTGCTGGATACACATCATTGAGGCCAGTATTTATTACTATTCCCTGCTGGATACACATCATTGAGGCCAGTATTTATTACTATTCCCTGCTGGATACACATCATTGAGGCCAGTATTTATTACTATTCCCTGCTGGATACACATCATTGAGGCCAGTATTTATTACTATTCCCTGCTGGATACACATCATTGAGGCCAGTATTTATTACTATTCCCTGCTGGATACACATCATTGAGGCCAGTATTTATTACTATTCCCTGCTGGATACACATCATTGAGGCCAGTATTTATTACTATTCCCTGCTGGATACACATCATTGAGGCCAGTATTTATTACTATTCCCTGCTGGATACACATCATTGAGGCCAGTATTTATTACTATTCCCTGCTGGATACACATCATTGAGGCCAGTATTTATTACTATTCCCTGCTGGATACACATCATTGAGGCCAGTATTTATTACTATTCCCTGCTGGATACACATCATTGAGGCCAGTATTTATTACTATTCGCTGCTGGACACATCATTGAGGCCAGTATTTATCACTTTTCCCTGCTGGATACACATCATTGAGGCCAGTATTTATTACTATTCCCTGCTGGACACATCATTGAGGCCCGTATTTATTACTATTCCCTGGATACACATCATTGAGGCCAGTATTGATTACTATTCCCTGCTGGATAAACATCATTGAGGCCAGTATTTATTACTATTCCCTGCTTGATACACATAATTGAGGCCAGTATTTATTACTATTACGGCCAGTATTTATTACTATTCCCTGTTCGATACACATCATTGAGGCCAGTATTTATCACTTTTCCCTGCTGGATACACATCATTGAGGCCAGTATTTATTACTATTCGCTGTTCGATACACATCATTGAGGCCAGTATTTATTACTATTCGCTGCTGGACACATCATTGAGGCCAGTATTTATTACTATTACTTGCTGGATACACATCATTGAGGCCAGTATTTATTACTATTCGCTGCTTGATACACATCATTGAGGCCAGTATTTATTACTGTTCCCTGCTGGACACATCATTGAGGCCAGTATTTATTACTATTCCCTGCTGGATACACATCATTGAGACCAGTATTTATTACTATTCCCTGCTGGACACATCTCTAAGCCCAGGGGCCTGTTTGTTTTGGGGGACAAACCAGTTTGTGATATTTCAGGGATAAACTATTTTGAATATGATAAAGGAAATGCTCGATACTAACTCTTTAATATTCACTGCTGTGTATACATTGTTGGGGCCAGTACCTATTGTTGTACTCTGATGTGTTCCAGGTCAACCTGAAAAATATTGAGAAGGACTCTTTCTGGGTTACTGCCAAGGAGCAGAAGTTTGAGAATGATGATATATTCCAGGGGCTGGTGGAAAACTTTGGTACACTATCAAAAAGTAAGTTTCTACACATGGACGAACTTTAATATTGTAGGTGTCTAAAAGAGTTATGTTACAGTTACTGATATATTCTTTCAATTTCATTAATCTTTAAAAATATATTTGGATTAAATTGCTTTATTTGACGTTTATTTTTAATGAATGATTTAAGTTACATTATCCTTGGATAATAAAGATTAATTATCAGAATAAGAAACATTTTTCACATACTGCAGATTTTCGACCTTAAGATTAAACATGTTTAACCATTGAATTTGCTATTAACAATTTCTACATTCTAATATTTAATGATTTCATTTGAAAAAATGAACAATTCAAAATATGCTATTTAAAAGTGATATTTTTCCTTATGGGGAATATACACACATTTTTTTATTAGCTCACCTGCCCAAAGGGCAAGTGAGCTTATGCCATGGCGCAGCGTCTGTAGTCGGCCCATCTGTCAACTTTTCCTTTAAAACACTACTTGTCCTGAACGGCCCAGTAGATTTGGACTAAATTTGGTCTGGAGCATCCTTAGGCCAAGGGGATTCAATTTTGTATAAAAGGTGGATGTGCCCCCCCTGGGGGCAGAGGGGTTAGGCAGAATAGGGGAAATAGATGTTAAACCTTTAAAATTCTTCTTCTACCATTGGGATTAAAAGATTGCATCCTGATTTTGTCTGGAGCATCCTTAGACCAAGGGGACTTTTGTTTAAACGGTGGGTGTGGGCAGAGTTGCAGGGCCCAATAGGGGGAAAAGTGGCAAAAACCTTTGAAATCCTTCTTCTACCATAGGACTGGGGGCTGAGAATTGCGGGGCCTGATAGGGAAATTAGAGGTTAAAATCTATAAAATCTTTTATCTTCTGTACCATTGGAGGGATTTAATGTAACAAGAATAATTTCCCATGGTTGCTCATTTATCCTGGTGAGTGTTACAGGCCCTCTGGGCCTCTTGTTGTTTTTAATTTTGAGCACTCAGAATCTTCCCCATGAAGAGTAAAAATGAAAGCTGTGACCAATAATTACTTAAAGTTTTATTGTAAATTGTTTTCCCTTCTTCAGCGAAAAAGCTTGACACCACAGAAAATACTGAGAAGAAAAAGATAAGTAAAAAGACAAAGGAGCTAAAGGTTCTGGAGGGAAAAGCAGCACAAAACTTGTGTAAGTGGATTCTAATGTAATCAAACCAGCACAAAACTTGTGTAAGTGGATTCTAATGTAATCAAACCAGCACAAAACCTGTGTAAGTGGATTCTAATGTAATCAAACCAGCACAAAACTTGTGTAAGTGGATTCTAATGTAATCAAACCAGCACAAAACTTGTGTAAGTGGATTCTAATGTAATCAAACCAGCACAAAACTTGTGTAAGTGGATTCTAATGTAATCAAACCAGCACAAAACTTGTGTAAGTGGATTCTAATGTAATCAAACCAGCACAAAACTTGTGTAAGTGGATTCTAATGTAATCAAACCAGCACAAAACTTGTGTAAGTGGATTCTAATGTAATCAAACCAGCACAAAACTTGTGTAAGTGGATTCTAATGTAATCAAACCAGCACAAAACTTGTGTAAGTGGATTCTAATGTAATCAAACCAGCACAAAACTTGTGTAAGTGGATTCTAATGTAATCAAACCAGCACAAAACTTGTGTAAGTGGATTCTAATGTAATCAAACCAGCACAAAACCTGTGTAAGTGGATTCTAATGTAAACAAACCAGCACAAAACTTGTGTAAGTGGATTCTAATGTAATCAAACCAGCACAAAACCTGTGTAAGTGGATTCTAATGTAATCAAACCAGCACAAAACCCGTGTAAGTTGATTCGAATGTAATCAAACCAGCACAAAACCTGTTTAAGTGGAATCTAATGTTATCAAACCAGCACAAAACCTGTGTAAGTGGATTCTAATGTAAACAATCCAGCACAAAACTTGTGTAAGTGGATTCTAATGTAATCAATCCAGCACAAAACCTGTGTAATTAAATCATAATGTAAACAATCCAGCACAAAACCTGTGTAAGTGGATTCTAATGTAAACAATCAAGCACAAAACCTGTGTAAGTGGATTCTAATGTTATCAAACCAGCACAAAACCTGTGTAAGTGGATTCTAATGTAAACAAACCAGCACAAAACCTGTGTTATTAAATCATAATGTAAACAATCCAGCACAAAACCTGTGTAAGTGGATTCTAATGTAAACAAACCAGCACAAAACCTGTGTAATTAAATCATAATGTAAACAATCCAGCACAAAACTTGTGTAAGTGGATTCTAATGTAATCAAACCAGCAAAAAACTTGTATAAGTGGATTCTAATGTAATCAAAACAGCTGAAAATATTTTATTTTGTATTTCTTTTGTGAAATTTAACCAGAGCAGGAGTTGTGCTGGAAAAGAATCTTAATGCCGAGGATGTAAGTTTTCATTGTCAGATCATCGTATGTTTCCTAAAATAACCACATTGTTTGTTCCAGCCATCCTGCTAGGCTCCATCAAGGTGCCGTATGAAGAGATACGGCGGCGTATCCTGGTAGTGGACGAGGCCAATCTATCTACAGCCCTACTAGAGCAGCTCATTAGATACATGCCAGAACCAGAACAGATCAACAAACTCGCCTCCTTCAAGGACCAGTATGCAGACTTGGCCGAGTCCGAGCAGTTTACTGTAACGGTAGGTGTAATGTAGACTCAACCCGAACAGTTCACTACAATAGTAGGTAGACTTGACCTCAACACCTCACTAACGGTAGGTGTAATGTAGACTCAACCCAAACAATTCACTACAATAGTAGGTAGACTTGACCTCAACACCTCCCTAACGGTAGGTGTGATGTAGACTCAAACCAAACACTTTACTTCTATAGTAGGTAGACTTCACCTCAACAACTCACTAACGGTAGGTGGGATGTAGACTCAACCCAAACACTTCACTACAGTTGATTCGAATGTAATCAAACCAGCACAAAACCTGTTTAAGTGGAACACATCATTGAGGCCAGTATTTATTACTATTACTTGCTGGATACACATCATTGAGGCCAGTATTGATTACTATTCCCTGCTGGATAAACATCATTGAGGCCAGTATTTATTACTATTCCCTGCTGGACACATCATTGAGGCCAGTATTTATAACTATTTCCTGCTGGATACACATCATTGTGTCCAGCAGCGAATAGTAATAAATACTGGCCTCAACGATGTGTTCCACTTAAACAGGTTTTGTGCTGGTTTGATTACACTCGAATCAACTTACACGGGTTTTGTGCTGGTTTGATTACATTAGAATCCATATTGTAGTGAATTGTTTGGGTTGAGTCTACATCACACCTCCCGTTAGCGAGTTGTTGAGGTCAAGTCTACCTAATATTGTAGTGAATTGTTTGGGTTGAGTCTACATCACACCTCCCGTTAGTGAGTTGTTGAGGTCAAGTTTACCTACTATTGTAGTGAATTGTTCAGGTTGAGTCTACATTTCACCTACCGTTAGAGAGCTGTTGAGGTCAAGTCTACCTACTATTCTAGTGAATTGTTTGGGTTGAGTCTACATCACCCCTACCGTTAGTGAGTTGTTGAGGTCAAATCACTACAATAGTAGGTAGACTTGACCTAAACAACTCACTAACGGTAGGTGTGATGTAGACTCAAACCAAACACTTTACTTCTATAGTAGGTAGACTTCACCTCAACAACTCACTAACGGTAGGGGTGATGTAGACTCAACCCAAACAATTCACTACAATAGTAGTTAGACTTGACCTCAACAACTCACTAACGGTAGGTGTGATGTAGACCCTTACTGAACAGTTTACTTTTAGGGTAGATAGACTCCACTTTGACATGTTACCGTTACTGCATTAGTTGCAAATGGCATTCAGTGTCTACTATTGTCTAGCATGTTCTAAATTTTGCTTAGTTGATAAAAATTGATGTTGATTACTTTCTTGGTTCTATTTCAGATAAGCAGTATCAAAAGAATTACCCCTAGGTTAAAATCAATACTCTTTAAGATGAACTTTCCCGAGTTGGTCTCAGAAATTAAGCCGGTAAGTAATATTATTTTGATATTATACCATATCAGATTGTTTGAAGCAATGAGTGGTCATTTTAACTCACCTGGTACAAAGCTGTGCAGTGATGTCATCTGTCACTCGTTTGTTAGTAAAATTTCCAATAAATTACATACAAAGTTTAAAGTAGTTTGGACATGATGGCATTTCATCATTTTGCATCTAAGGTCCCCTTAAATCTTCGCAAATGATACTTGATAGAATATTTTGAACAGTATGTACATTATTTAAAGGCAATTATAATACGCTCATGTACATTGTATGTATATTTATATATGTTTATGTCATAAAATTTTGAAAATACAATTAAAAATAAATAAATAAAAAAAATCTTCGCAACACCTCCTCTCTCCAGCACCTTCATGTTGGGTTGTATTTCCGTGAGACAGTTTTATCTGTGTCATTTACCATGGGGATTTGTTTGATTTACAGTTAATTCCCCATCAGTTTGACCCTCAGTTCTGTCCATTCCCCTACTGTACCCTGTATTTTTCTGCCTCATGGTCCTTAGTTCTGTCCATTCCCCCACTGTACCCTGTATTTTTCTGCCTCAGGGCCCTCAGTTCTGTCTATTCCCCCACTGTACCCTGTATTTTTCTGCCTCAGGGCCCTCAGTTCTGTCCATTCCCCTACTGTACCCTGTATTTTTCTGCCTCAGGGCCCTCAGTTCTGTCCATTCCCCCATTGAACCTTGTATTTTTCTGCCTCAGGGCCTGGTGGCGGCCATTGAAGCCTGTGAAGAAGTCAAAAACAGTAGAAAGTTCACCAGTCTGTTGGAGTTAATCCTATTCATGGGAAATTATCTCAACGCAGGCTCGCGAAACGCTCAGTCTGTCGGGTTTGAGCTGAGTTATCTAAGTAAGGTAAGCAGTAAACTTTATTATCTTGTATATCAAGTGTCCAGCAATTAGAAATATAAATCCTGTTATTGTACAACTATATTCTCATTGCACTGAATTTGTTCATATGAAACTACCACCTTTAAGCCCCTTTATAATAATATCATGTTTTCCTATGTACATGGCCCCAGTATATATATAGAGTTAATGTGTTTTCTACCTTCACACCCTGGTATCAGGACTGTCTTGTGTTTTCAATCTTTACAACCTGTTTTAAAGAACCATTTTCCCCTCCAGCTCCACAACACTAAGAGCCAGGATGGTAAAACAACTCTAGTCCATTACCTAGCCAATGTGGTAGAACAGCAGCATCCGGAACTCCTTACATTTCCAGAGGAACTCTCCTATATTGACAAGGCTGCCCGAGGTTTGTATAATCTTTCCTAGACAATGGGGGATAAACAATGGTCATTTTGAACTCACCTGGCACAAAGCTGTGCAGTGACGCCATCTCTCACTTATCTGTTGGTAAAAAATTCCAAGAAACTACATACATACAAAGATTAAATATTAAACTCGTTTTAATCTGCTTTATTTCACATTTCGTTCTCAAGTTCACCTTACTATAAATAGAAATCTTTGCATGACCTCGTCTTTCTAGCATCTATATTTTTGGTCAGGTTTCCATCAAATTTCAAATAGAGTACCAATTCCAGTATTATAACCTGAACAAGTTTGCGTTGATGCATTTTGAACTGAAGGACATTATATATTTATACACATCAATCAATTAATTGCTGCACTGGAGCCTTCATTTTAAACCGAATTTCCATGAAACTAATATTTACATGGGGCATACATATCCAGCAGATATTCTCTAGTTTGTAATCAAATCTCTGTGATATGCTGGCAAATACCAGTTTTCAAAGTTCACTACCATTAGTTAACTAGTGTTTAAAATACACTGAATAGGATTAATGATTTACACCTGTAAAGGAAATTAGCAACAGGGATAAAGGTGTAGTGAGTATAGACCCTGCCAGACACTTACATGGGTTTGGATTGTACTGAGGCTGTGACTGTTGTTAAGTTTTCAGGTTCATACATCACAACCAGTGAAATATTTTATGTGTAGTGTTTCAATGACTAATATGCTAAGTAATCTGTCCTCTTAATCATTATCATTTGTTGAAGGTGACAGACTAATACAATTTGTTCTAAAATCATCAATGGGTAATTCACACGTTTTGATTATATGAATCTGTACACAAACTTTATTTACCAACCCGAAGAAAATGTGTGATAAATGTTTTTACAATGTAGGGCAATAGAGTGCAGTAGATTTAATAATTTGTGATTGTGATTGTAGTGTCAGATGAAATGCTCCAGAAGAATATCAGACAGATGGAGAAGAGCTTAGACCAGCTGGAGCTAGACGTGAAGAACCAGAGCAAACTGGCCATGGAGGGCGATAAGTTTCCTGATGTCATGAACATATCCTTTTTCATATCAGCAAGTAATACTGTGGATTTAGATAGCAGTGCTGACAAGAAAATAAGTTGTGAGAAAAAGTCCAAAACATCCATACAATCTTTCAATTTTCTCAAAGAACACTCATTTAAATATTTGCTATCTCTTAGAGTTTAGTCAACACAAAATTGGAAAAGGTGCTACTTCTATTTATTAAAATGATACTTCCACAATCTGTTTCCATTTAATGAATCATTATACAGTTACCCACCATTTTATTATCACATTTTGTCAAGTACAATTGTGGTGATGTAAAAGAAGGAGTGGGAAAAAGGAGTGACAAATGAACTGTATTATGTCACTGTTTGACTGTAAACAAGGGGCGCTATATGTAGGTTTGACTGTTATGTGTTTCTCATATATTCATCCCAAAGATTTGATAGCCATGGCAGAACTGTGTCCAGTATTACAGTAAGTCTTACGGTGAGTGGAAGTATAATCAACCCTTAACTTCAATGAATTCCAGGTCTGCAGGTTAAATTAAAGTGTAACCTGTCATCTGGAAATATAGTACAATATCATCACGCTCACAGTGGGAGAGATAATTTGTTAGATATTTATACAAAGTTAGAGACCGGCGTGGTGTTGACCTTAACCTTGATCACGTGTTCCTGACAACAGCTCGGGAGCAGCAGTCCGTCCTCAGTGGCATGTGTAAGAAAATGGACAACCTGTACAAGGGCATGGCCAAGTTCTACGCATTTGACGTAAAAAAATATACCATGGATGAGTTCTTTGGGGATCTCAAGACATTTAAAGAGCAATTTGTGGTAATTATTATCCGATACACAGAAATATTCATTTATAGAAATGTCCTTGAAGTTGAGTGAATGGATTGTTATAAGTATTAATTCTTATAACTATTCCCTTACATAATGTACTGTAAATTGAAAATAATAGCACATATGTATCTCTTTACTAGAAAAATGTTAACTTGAAACATTGTGAAGTCTTATTTGTAGCGGTTTCATTTAAGCATTGAACTGTGTTGAAATGGCATTTACAGTCTATATGAACGCCATCCAAACTTGGTAGGGTTATATAGTTGCAGTACCATAAAGTTGGAAACATTTGTCAACTGTGACAAGGAATATTCTCAAAAAGTCAGTAAACCAAAATTCTCCTACTGAAGTAATTTTCCAGTCCTTCTTAGAATGAATAGGTAATACAGACAAGTGTGTTCATGTGACATCTCAGATTGCATGAGTGCATTAGGTGTATAGATATACCTGGTATTATACAAGATCTGAAGCTCGAGTGAAATATAGCAGCCTTGAAAGTGATACAATGATAATGCTCTAGTTACCGTACCAACTACAGGATTGAGATTGTTCATCTGACTATCTTGAATGTCGGTTTTGAGAGGCAGAAGCACGGTTCGGAAGTCATCACACTTTTTGGACAGGACTAATACCTGGAACCTTACCTCATGATCAGAACCACATGACATATCCATTTATGCAATAATTGAGTACAATCTTTATCAACACAGTGTGAGATACAAAACCTTGTATAGCATGACCTGGAATTTTACTGTATCACTATAGTAAGATTCAACAGGTTTGTAATAAACAAATGTTACTGTATGTTAACAAAGTTTTGAGCTTATCCCATGGTGCAGCCTCTGTCGTCCGTCTGTCAACTTTTCCTTTCAAACACTAGTAATCCTGAACGGCCCAGTAGATTTTGACGAAATTTGGTATGGAGCACCCTTAGGCCAAGGGCATTCAATGTTGTATACAAGTTGGGTGTGGCCCTCCTGGGGGTAGAGGGGCAGGGCCAATAGGAGAAATAGGGGTGGAGCCAAATAGGGGAAATAGAGGTAAACCTATAAAATCCTTCTTCTACCATACGGATGAAAGGATTTTATCCCAATTTGTTCTGGAGCATCCTTCATGCAAAGGGACTCAATTTTATATAAAGTGTGGGTGAGGCCTCCCTGTGGGCAGAGGGGTGGGTATGAATAGGGGAAATAGAGGTAAACCTTTAAAACCCTTCTTCTACCATAGGGATTAAATCCAAATTTGGTCTGGAGCATCCTTTGGCAAAGGGGACTCCATTTTGTATAAATGGTGAGTTTGGACCCAGAGGTGCGGGGTCGTATAGGGGAAAGAGAGGTAAAACCTTTTGAAATTCTTCTCCTATCATAGGGATAAAAGGGATTCTATCATTATTTGGCCTTGAGCATCCTTGGGTCAAGTTGACTCAATTTTGCACAAACGATAGGTGTGGCCTCCTTGGGTGTAGGGAAGCAGGGCTCAAAAGGGGGAATTTGAGGTTTAAATCTTTAAAATCCTTCTCCTTCTGTATCATTGGAGGGATTTTATGTAATAAGAATAATTTCCCATGATTGCTTTATTATCCAGGTGAGCGATACAGGCCATCTGGGCCTCTTGTTTTGTCTAACAATAGGTTAGAAGTGACGGTGTAAACAATTCCCTTAGCCTAACTCCTGGGTATCAGTACCTACATTTATTCCGAAAATCAAATTCAGAGTAGTAGAAATTATCTTCATATATGCCTGCATGCTAGTACTGAGAATAAGAAATTGTACACCCCTGAAGTGATGTGAAGGGGACGTGTTACAACTGAGCTAATGTTAACAGGAAGCAGTGAAAGATAACATCAAAACTAGAGAAACACTGGAGAAGATTCGCCGGGCCAAGGAGGCTAAAGAGCGTGCTCAGAAAGAAAAGGAAGCAAAAATAGCCAGGAAGAAGGCACTTGTCGATGTGACCATAGGTAGGTGTACATTAAAAGGATGGGGCCTTTTTAGTCATAAAAAGATCATTTGTTCTTCCGCTTACCACCATTACCTGCTTTGAAGTCTTTGTCTTGTTTCCCAACATAAAAATTGCTGGAGAAAAATGTTTCCCTGCATTACACTGGTGATCTGTTTTAAATATGATCAATTGTCATATGGAAAGCTGAAATTTAATCTTGTTTTCAAATCATTTTAACTACCAGTTAAGAATAATAAAGAATGTTGTATGCATATACAGAGTAACTTGAATTTAATTATCACCTCTTTCCATTCCTCTTGAGCTTTTTTTAAGCTTATTTGAAGAAATACCATAATATTTTTTGAATGAATACTGAACTCATTCTTGAAACTTTTTAATGAAGTTTAAGAGTACCTGTTAGAACACGTTTGCTTTGTTTTCTAGACGATGACCAGGAAGGAGTGATAGATAATTTAATGGATGCTCTCAAGACAGGATCCGCCTTTAACAAGGGACGCGATGGCAAGCGACGCACACCACGGGCTGCAGGAGGTAAACATATTATTATTCTTACAGCTGATCGCCATTTTGACATCATAAACAGAATCACAGTCTGGTCTCGGTGTGCTTTTAGTGTGTTTTTAAATTAAAAGCTACGCTCATTATATACAATTTATATACATTGTGCAGTAGATCTGTTCCTAGCAACAACACTTTATTGGCCTGAAATTCATGCTGATTTGTATGTAGTACATAAGAAATGACCATTACAAGTGAGAGAGGTTTGTAAAGATAGATATACTGCACAGAGCTGTAATCAGAAGCTGAGTTTACAAGATCAGTGTAACACTAGTGTGATGTCACGCCAGTGTCAGTGTGAAATACCCCCCACTAGAACCGGAAGTAAAGTGTTACACTGCTTTCTGTGTGAGAGATACCCACATTAGTGTTCACAGTGTGATGTCACGCCAGTGTCAGTATGAAAGATCTCACACTAGAACTGGAAGTAAAGTGTTACACTGCTTTCTGCTGTGTGAGATACCCACATTAGCCTTCACAGTGTGGTGTCACACCAGTGTCAGTATGAAAGATCTCACACTAGAACTGGAAGTAAAGTGTTACACTGCTTTCTGCTGTGTGAGATACCCACATTAGTGTTTACAGTGTGATGTCACGCCAGTGTCAGTATCAAAAATCTCACACTAGAACTGGAAGTAAGGTGTTACACTGCTTTCTGCTGTGTGAGAGATGCCCACATTAGTGTTTACAGTGTGATGTCACACCAGTGTCAGTGTGAAAGATCCCACACTGGAACCGAAAGTAAGGTGTTACACTGCTTTCTGTGTGAGAGGTACCCACATTAGCGTTTACAGTGTGATGTCACACCAGTGTCAGTGTGAAAGATCCCACACTAGAACTGAAAGTAAGGTGTTTCACTGCTTTCTGTGTGAGAGGTACCCACATTAGTGTTTACAGTGTGGTGTCACGCCAGTGTCAGTGTGAAATTTCCAACACTAGAACTGGAAGTAAGGTGTTACACTGCTTTCTGTGTGAGAGGTACCCACATTAGTGTTTGCAATGTGGTGTTACACTGCTTTCTGTGTGATAGATACCCACATAAGTGTTTACAGTGTGATGTCATGCCAGTGTCAGTGTGAAAGATCCCACACTAGCACTGGAAGTAAGGTGTTATACTGCTTTCTGTGTGAGAGATGCCCACATTAGTGTTCACAGTGTGGTGTTACACCAGTGTGGTGATCCCACATTAGTGGGGTGTCATTTACATGGCTTATTGCTTTTTATGCATTTCACTGAAATGTTAATGTTGTTTTAATTCACAGCAGTAAAATAAGCTTGATATGCATATAAAGCTTACTGATTTTTTTGTTGATGATATTAGGCTAGTATATCACTTTGTGTATAGAAACTATCTTTATATTGTTTGTCACTATAGTTACTGCTATTGTATCATAATATAAATATACATGTATCTAGAATATACAAATAGGAAGATCCACATAAAACCTATTTAACCTTTCTTTCTTATGTTTCATTTTAATATCTCTTCTCTTTATTATCTGACAATAATAAACTAACTATAACATAATTATTGATGCTATATATATACATCAGTAACCTATGGAAAATAATCCTTATTATAACTACATGGTTAATGGCCCCTCCGAAGTGGTCATTAGGGTCAGTAGATGATCAATGATATTTGTATTTTGGAGTTTAAACTTGTCATTGTTGTATTTTGTTAGTTGGCTACCTAACACCAGGTAACTGGGATGTTCACCTCTTGTCTACTGAAACCATTGGACAGAGTCAATCCAACCATTACAATGTACTTAGAAATGGGAGGTACAATGAAGTAGGAATGGGGAGGTACAATAGATTAGTGGGCTTCACAGGGCAAATGGGTTTTCCCTAATCTGTTTAAAAACTCTTTTCAGTTATGTTGAAATATTGGATAGACAGGCATTCAGTAAATATAAGATTGCTTCCATTATTTGGTCATAATGTGTACATGATTTCTTAAGATAGTATTGGTAGATTATGACCGAATTTATGCTAATGTCTACTGGTTATTTGAAGTCCTGGGGCAGATTTGATTTTGACAGTCAAAGGGACTTTCACCATACATGTGAACAAGAATGTTAGAATTGAATCTCTACATATGACCAAGCTTACACGATTTATACTTATGTACTATAGATATCATATAAATCTATGAAAATTGTCGTATACTGATAATTATAACATTCTACCACATTCACTTTGAAAAGTAGTGGGACATAGGTATTTCATTAAAACATTTCCTTGTTTTAACATTAAGATACAGTGATGGTCTTTACTAAGAACATAAACAGTGGTCATATAATTTGTGTAACTTGGAAAATAAGTTGAGAAAAAAATACAGGTAGGATGAGTATTGGTTGGATTTGACTCTGAGGGGCTGATTTATTTATTACCTCCCTTAGACTGGTTTAGGATTCTTCTCTCTTCAGTAGTGGGGTCACCCCCCCCCCGGGTGTACATACTGGTTATATTCGGTAGAAATATCCTAGTACAAATTGTTTAATTGAAAGGTATTTAATGGTGTTAAGTAATACATTCTTGTCACCTAACCATTGCCTTTCCATAAAATTACTCTTTTTGACTTGGTTCTTCTCCATATTGCTTCCTGTGTCCATCCTTTCTGCTGCACCAGCACATTTTGTTAGTGATTTTCTCTTTAAAGTCACAGGTGTTTATGGTACTGAGGATAGTGCTCTAGGATAGAGAGTGTAATTGGGGATAAGGATAGACACGCTCATTGCAAAGTTTTTGTTTGTTTTTTCTTTGAATTTTTTATTTAAACGTGAAATGGTTCTAATGAAGTCACAGGCTCAAGCCTAAAATATTTTCCTCAAGATCGATAAAGTGTTTGACTTGAAGTGTTTGTAAAAAATTACATGTGAATATTTTTGCAAATTCAAAGAAGACAATAAAACCTATTGATAAGGATGTAGGGTTTCATTTAAACGATTGAAAATATGGTGTGTAGCTTTTAAGTAGAAGCATGAAAAAATGGAAGTTTATTTTACAGGTTTGAAGATTGAAGCATACCAATTGTAGTATTACTTTATTAGAAATTTTCAGTTTAATTTAATTCAATCGTAGTTATTCTTCTTACTGTGCAAATAACACTGCCATAAAAATTGCTGTGTATGATAATTTATAGGTACACCATGTCTTGATATTGATATCACTATAAATTTTCTCAATCTGGTTACTGTTACAACCCGTACATAACCTACGAGAGGATTCTACTTAACAAATCACCTCCTTTCCACAGCTTTCTATTCTTCCTGTGTTGCTCAATGCTATCTGTTTCTTCCACCAATGCACTTCACAGCGGATAGATTCTCCACTCTCTCGCGATCGAGAGTGTGGCACAAACGCCCTCCTGTCAACGGCGTAGACATGGACCAGCTCAGCAGTGCTATTCAGAGCAGCGCGATGCATCGCTCTTCCCATTGGTTGGTCCATTATGCCTATCATGAATTAAGGTTTTGCTGGAAGTCGATGTTGTGAAAATTAAGCATGGAATGTATGTAGCCTCTCTGTCAGCATAGAAGTGCTGGGAGAAATGTAGCATGGTGTCATGGAGCTACGAACATGCACGTAAAATTACCTATATACTGTCTAAACATGCTGTTCTAAACTTTATATACCCATGCAATGTACTAGGAGTCTGACAGTTGTTTGAAATCTTACTCAAAATATATAGCATGCAATTTTTCGAGGAAATTTCATAACTTTGAATGATTTTTGACATTTTGGCCAAAGCCTATTTATACTGTGTATGTCTCAAATGTAACAATCCACGAAGCATTGCTTACCATCACATACACAGATGTATCTGCCAATGGACAAATGTGCATTTTGTTGAAGTATAAACCACACATATTACCTATGCAAGCTTCACGGCTATCTTGTCTATGCTGACACTTTATGTAGATAAGATTACTTGTTTTCGGCTTATTGATCTTGATATGCTTTATGTTTTGTCTGTTGTGTATGGTTTCTATTTCCCATTAAGTTACAGCTGGTCTTTTTATGGTAGATTTTACAGGCTTGTTTCAAAATGTCTTTCACCCTGAACATTTTATTTATGTGTGTTTTGTTCCTGGTTGGCCAGTCCCCTAGGCATCCTGTATGAATGTGACTTTGTATGTGAGTGCAATATATGTGATTGCTTTTACTGTTTATTTATTTTCCTCTTTTTTTTTTACCATTATAAAATAAGAGTTTTTATTGTGTTTTTAGGTCACCTGAGCTTTAGCTCAAGTGACCTATTGCTATCCGTTTTCGTCCGTCGTCGGCCGTCGTCCGTCGTCCGTTAACATTTTACATTTCAAACTTAAAGTCAAGTTCTGCTGGGCCGATTGAACTGAAAGTTGGTAGGAATGATCGACTCATGGTCCTGACAAAGTGTTGTTATTTTTTGGGTCGATCAGAAATCCAATATGGCCGCCACGGCCGCCATTTTGAAAACCTATTTCAAACTTAAAGTCAAGTTCTGCTGGACCGATTGAACTGAAAGTTGGTAGGAATGATCGCCTCATGGTCCTGACAAAGTGTTGTTATTTTTCGGGTCGATCAGAAATCCAATATGGCCGCCACGGCCACCATTTTGAAAACCTATTTCAAACTTAAAGTCAAGTTCTGCTGGACCGATTGAACTGAAAGTTGGTAGGAATGATCGCCTCATGGTCCTGACAAAGTGTTGTTATTTTTTGGGTCGATCAGAAATCCAATATGGCCACCACGGCCGCCATTTTGAAAACCTATTTCAAACTTAAAGTCAAGTTCTGCTGGACCGATTGAACTTAAAGTTTGTAGGAATGATCGACTCATGGTCCTGACAAAGTGTTGTTATTTTTCAGGTCAATCATAAATCCAATATGGCCGCCACGGCCACCATTTTGAAAACATATTTCAAACTTAAAGTCAAGTTCTGCTAGGCCGATTGAACTGAAACTTTGTAGGAATGATTGACTCATGGTCCTGACAAAGTGTTGTTATTTTTCAGGTCGATCAGAAATCCAATATGGCCACCACAGCTGCCATTTTGGTAAACTATTTCAAACTTAAAGTAAAGATCTACTTGGCCGATTGAACTGAAACTTTGTAGGAATGATCGAATCATGGTCCTGACAAAGTGTTGTTATTTTTCGGGTCAATCAGAAATACAATTTGGCTGCCATGGCCGCTATTTTGCTACTAAGTTCTAATAGGCCGATCTCACTTAAAATTGGTCTAGGAATGATCAGCTCATGGTCCTGACAAAGTTAAGTTAACATTATACTATTTTTTACTCAAATTGGTACATATTTCAACAACAAAAATAAATACTGTAGACTCAGGTGACCGTTTAGGCCCATGGGCCTCTTGTTGTGTTTACTTAGCATCACTTTGTTTAATTTGCGTCATTTTCATTTTGGCTTATGTAACCCATTTTCTGTAATATTAGACATTATTATTTACTGTACACCTCCTTGCATCACATGTACATCATTTGTTGTCATTTTGCTACTTATATACATAGTAGTTCCATATCCAAGATCTGACTTTTGGTTTCTAGAGCATAAGTACCAAATTTCTTGTTCCTTTTTTTATTCCCCTGCATTTGTGTGTAAGGGAGGGGCATATATAACCTTGTCTGCCCTGTCCATTTTGTGTGGAAGGGAGGGGCATATATTACCTTGTCTGCCCTGTCCCTTTTGTGTGTAAGGGAGGGGCATATATAACCTTGTCTGCACTGTCCCTTTTGTGTGTAAGGGAGGGGCATATATAATCTTGTCTGCCCTGTCCCTTTTGTGTGTAAGGGAGGGGCATATATAACCTTGTCTGCCCTGTCCCTTTTGTGTGTAATGGAGGGGCATACATGACCTTGTCTGCCCTGTCCCTTTTGTGTGTAAGGGAGGGGCATACATGACCTTGTCTGCACTGTCCCTTTTGATTCCCATCCTGTTGTTTAAAATTCATCAAAGTTTATACAAAGGTCAAGAATGAGAATACTTCAAAAGACTTTGTATTTCAAGGTTCCAATGTCAAGGCTAAGGTCACTGATGCTATTTATAGGTCAACAACAGGGTCAAGGGAGTACTAAGACCAAAGTTATTATACATAAAATTGCTTTAGGATTGGAATACGACATGAATTGTATTAGGGGTATATAACAGGAATTGTAATAGGAGAGGGTGGTACAAGAGTTCATTAGAAGCAGGGCATGGCAAAACTTGCTTCAGGAACAGGGCTGGACAGTAAAAACTTTAGGAGTGGGGCATGGCTAGAACTGTATTAGGAATAAGTAAGATAAACTCAGCTTGTTCATTTTTACTTTTTCATGTGTCATTGACCCGACATCTGTTTGTATACATCACATCTTGTGTACATTTCATGTTTGCTTTGTATCTTCACTGATATGATTTAATTTTGAGCTGATTTTAAACTGATTTTGTTTGCTTTACATGTACAATGTACTTTATTCATTTCCTTCCTTGCTTTATTGTGTTTTAAGTTATTTAAATGTGTGTGTAAACTTTAAATATGTTTAAACACTTTCTAAAACATGCGGTTGTATTACTAGTGAAATTTTTGGGGAGAAATCTCCTGATGTATTTTAGTTGTGGCACTGCATGGGAGTGACATGTGAAAACATTTTATCCCTGTTAATGATCTTGAAAATAATCATGGAAACATGGTCCAAAAAATTATGCGTCAAAAATTATTTTGCCTGTGATTTCATGTAATTGCCTTGAATATGATTGATTGACTTCGACATATTTGCATAACAAGTGTGACCCAAATATTAATCCCAAACTCTGAATAAAAGGCCTTGATATACAAAGCATCACAGATTGGGCCGTTCCAAAATCCTGATTGATGAATACAATTCTGAGATTCTGTTTGTCAGGTAACACCAGACAAAGCAACCAAATTGTGCATTTTGAACTTTCGCTCCTATACCATTCGTGGTTCTATCCCCTGGCATTTCAGACTAGTGCTGTGTACCCATCCAGCCTTTGGAAGCCAGTTGAAATTATCGTCCTAGTAACTGATCTTATCGTATATTATACACCAACACTTTACTTTCAGCACGCGTGAACCAGGCGTGGAGAACCAGGGTGGTTACAAGGTGACACAAGTCTGCCCTGTATACAATAACCTACCATAGTGTATACATTAATGACTTGCTGTGACACTGTCTTAGCACCAGGCAAAAATACTCAAATCCATAAATTATATGCTTAAATTTCACTTAGAATTATAAAAAAATAATTCTACGTTTTCTGAGAGTTTTCTTTGTTTTAGTGTTAATACAAAACATTCTTCTCTTGAAAACGCGAAAAAAAGAGGAAATAGCAAATCTTAACTGTAACTGTAAATTTCATAAAACAATGGAAGATGACAATGTTTTGACTGATATTCATTAGTCAAGACTTTTCTTCCTGGATAACAATTCTGACGTAATAAATTGTTGAGACACTGCTTCATAGAGCTTTCATCTTAGACAAACCAAGTACTAACTACCACAATGGCCTTTGTAATCCCGGCAGAGGTATCAGCAGTAACCTCCCTTTATGACCATTGTATACCTATTTCTGCCTAATACAGGTGATTTTTCGAGCAAACATACCGTATACCCTTTGCATGTTTCCAAAGTTTACAAAAGCATACTTTAACATTTAAAAATTATAAATTAATGCCTACCCAACCACCAAACGCCAAGTTGTTACTTGCTAACATACCTGACCAGTAAGTAATTTTGAAAGAAACTTGGAAAAACTTAAAAAAAAAAAAAAAAAATGTTCTTAAATATATATATAAAAAAAAGTTACAGCAAAAATGGAAATAAATAGATGAGTGCATTTTTCTAACATAAATATGTGGAGTTAAATGATTAAACAATTCTAGCTCTGATGATGCACATTGATTTAACATATAAGCTTAACTGTTAGGAATGGTTTAGTGTTTTGTGAACAAATTTCATCAGAAATTTATGGATTATGAATGCATTATTGTGATCTTCACCATTCTAACCTACTATATGTCCCAGTTATCTCCCTTTGTCTTCCCTGCTCTGGTTATTGGTTTGGTTGTGAATCATCCATTTTCAGATTCAGTAATGTTATTACTCTCATTGGTTTTTAATCAGTGTTCTTATCAATTAAAGTATGTTATCTGATAATTAATTTTTCACTTTGTTGATTGCATTTCATTGATTATAGTTCATTGATTATAGTTCGCTGATAGTGATGACATTTTGGTATGATTTGATTTTTATAAGTTTATATGATTCGTCTTGTCATTTACCAGATACATATTGTAATTGACTTACATGTGAACATGACTACTGATTGTGTTTACACTTGAATTGAACTTGAGGTGTGAACGAACTATATCTTGGCTTCCGATTGTGTTTATACTTGAACGACCTATATATTCAGTCCTATATTCTTTTGTTTTTCCAGCTGAACGTCGAGCCCAACTTTCTCGGTCAAGGTCACGACAAAACCTACTCCAGGTGGATAATTCGACAGTTCGTGAAATTTCATTTGATGACGTATTAAAATCAGACACTCCACCACGTGAACGGACAACTGTACCTGTGGAAAAACCAAGGGAACGAAAACGTGAGCGGAGGAAGCCATCGGAGGGTGAAAGTGAAGCAGAAAAGCTTTTAGCAAGGTTGAAAGAATTATGATGTGTTACACGAGACGATTACATGAAAGGGACCAAAACAGGATAATACATATCTAGTGTTTGTGTATATATGTGGAGATAGTTGTATATATTGAAGTAGTTATCATTTATCTCAGCATGATACACATGACTGTAGTAGATAGTTACAACATAACATTAGACATTTAAAATAACTCAGAATTTGAGCCTGAAATATTAATGTCAATATATCCAGGACTTGATTATAAGTGAGTTAAATAATAACAGTTGTATAATGACATAACATTGATGGACGTAATCAAAATGGAGCAGCATCCACAATGAAAACGCTTGAAGTACATAGTTTACAAAGTTCTGGGGAGGGGGATGCAGTTCTGGGGAGGGGGATGCAAAGATATTGAGAGTTACAATTATTTAGCACACATCAGTGTAAGCTTGTGTGATGGCACAGGTTTACTTCCTGTCCATTCGGCGACAATGTTAAGGTCATTTTTTTTCTCTCTTCAAAACCACAAGGCCTAGAAACATGATATTAGGCCAATGGCTTGCTGTGATTAAGGGCAGCCTAATGTTAAAATAAATCACTTCGATATGCTCTCAAGATTGCCAGGGACAAATATGTTAAACATTTTTACTAATTTCTTCTACAGAGCTCTGAGGTCCATTGTCACGATAATTGTCTTGTGGCTCGTGAGAGAAAATAGCTATAACTTCAAAGGTCATGTGGTCAAATTTATTTAAAAGACCTAACAGCTTCATTTGGTTTTCAGCCTGATAAGCTGTAGGCTAATTTAGTCAGATGGATGACCTTAACCCACTTTAAGGGTCACAGATATCACATATATTAAATGGAAAGAAACAAAACCAGGGCAGCATTCCTAGGTTCTTTGCCCCTTGTTTTAAATTTCATGGTTGTCTAAATGGTACAAGCTATCAACACATGATGCCACTTCATCAAATGTCATGTACAAAGAATTATTATCATATGTGCATTCGTTATCTGAAAACTGAGCTTCATCTTCAAACAAATAGATCCCATCATCCATGCAAAGTGAATAAATTTCATGGTATTAAAGTTGACTGGAGTTTTTCCTGTCCAGTTTGGGATATACATACAGTATATATAATAAGGTATTTTGCAATGTTTTGAATATTAGCATACATTATACTGGTATAGAAAGAGATGTCTGTAAACTTCTAACTAAAACTTGTATAGCTACCTGATTTAACATAATGCATATGTGGAAAGCATTTTGCAAATATTAAAGTCTTCTGATGTACAATGTTAATCTTATAACTAATTCACTGAAATATAGGTTTTTCAGTATACCTTATCACACTTCGTACCTATTTCATTATATGAAGATTAATGCATAGCATTTTCTTTGATGACTACAAAAACTGAGAGTGTTACTGTGTATCTGATATTCTATTGGGTATTAAACCATTTGGTTGGTTGGTTGGTTGATGGGTTTATAGACTACACTTCACTGACGAAGTCTGTGTTCAGTCATCTTGAGGGGGTAAGCGCCAGCTTACCGGGCCCTCGGAGATTCAAATGTCCTGCCCATCCAGGTCACGCTCTAAGGTCGAACAGCTCCTTAGATGCGGACAGGCTGTCACAGCTCCTTACATGCAGACAGGCTGTCACAGCTCCTTAGATGCGGACAGGCTGTCACAGCTCCTTAGATGTGGACAGGCTGTCACAGCTCCTTACATGCGGACAGGCTGTTACAGCTCCTTACATGCAGACAGGCTGTCACAGCTCCTTAGATGCGGACAGGCTGTCACAGCTCCTTACATGCAGACAGGCTGTTGCAGCTACTGCGGTCCACAGGAACATGTCCTTTCTGTAGTCCTCACTGCCCTCCTATGTATTGAACCATAACACCAGCTTCTATTTATAGGTTCTAGTATATCTTTATGTGTATATATCAAACTGTTAGCCTATCAATGATATATAAGGTGTTTCACCATTAATATCTTATGATTAATGGTTGCTACTACCCTGACTGTACATACACAAAGTGGCTTCCTGTTCCAGTGTTCTTGCTGTCAGTTGTTTAGGTAGGCCCTATATGCTTTGATGAATTTGAAGTCAGCTTACAGTGGTACACACAGTCATTAGCCCATACCTTGCGTCATATAACTAAAGAATGGTTTGGTTGGAGTCATGAAAATTTCAGGAACTTTTCATTCACAATTTATTTTTTTAATATCTGTGATTTCGTTGTTTCCAAAGTCAAATTATAATATCCCAGAGCTAAGACAGCACAGGAAACTTGTTACCAGAAGAAACTGGCTTAAGATTTTTCCTACCCTTAAACTTTGCCACAGGGAAACCATTGCTTAAGTGAAGGAATTACCTTAAGGAATATTTGTGAACTCTGAACCTGGTTCTATATTTTAATAATTTTGTATATGTTCTATATATAATATATGTATATATATGGTAATCAGTGCTTTATGTACATAAGGGATGTTATACTATTTTCCTACAAATGTTTACTTGTAATATACTGTTTTTACCAACACGCTACCCACGAGGAGAGATGGGTCTGTACTCTGCCAGGGAACATGGCAGTACATGTGTACACATGTGTTTATGTGTGTGTATGGAGTGTGGGAGGAAAGTGTTTCTGACTATATATCACCCCTTTGTCAAACTATTTCGGGTCTGATTTCTTAAAAATCATTTTAATGTAAGGCATTTGTATTTAGTTCAGTGATGATTAGTTTACATCATTTTATTAATACTAAGATCGGGAATAACATTTTCTTACAATTATATATAAATGTTAAATCATTATTAATTAAATGCAGATCCATTAATAGAGATAAGTTGAGGCATGGTTTTGTAGGTTCAAAACTCATTTAGCCCAATAAGATATTATCATCATGTTGAAATTTTCGTTTTAGAATTTTTCAAAAATGTTGAATTTTGTTAAGTACCAAATAAATTGATAACAAATGATCATTTGAAGATAAATATAAACTCCATGTGTATGATGCAGTTGGATTTAAAATAACTCACAGAAACAGGCCAACAATGTAATAAAGTTGTTTAAAATTGGGTCCCAGATATTTCTATGATGAAAGACATTTGTTAACTTTAAAAACAAAACTTCATTGAAAAGATAAGTATCTTGAGCAACTGTAACATAAACCACGAAATTACCTGCTATCTAAGTCCGTGCTTAATCTACTTGTTACCGGGATTCTGTAGCTGATATACATTCCTCTATTTAGTTAATTATTCTGACAAATCATGTGTTGTTATAGTTTGTTTCATTAGTTTAGACTGTTGAAACTTTGATTTATACTTAAAGCTTAAAAGGTTGTCTAACATCTACTGACCATTGTGTAGACTGTTGACCAAGTCTACTGACCATTGTGTAGACCGGTGACCAACTCTACTGACTGTTGTGTAGACTGTTGACCACGTCTACTGATTGTTATGTAGACCGGTGACCACGTCTACTGACTGTTGCCTAGACTGGTGACCACGTCTACTGACTGTTGTGTAGACTGTTGACCATGTCTACTGACTGTTGTGTGGACCGTTGACCACATCTACTGACTGTTGTGTGGACCGTTGACCACATCTACTGACTGTTGTGTGGACTGGTGACCACATCTACTGACTGTTGCGTGGACTGGTGACCACATCTACTGACTGTTGCGTGGACTGGTGACCACATCTACTGACTGTTGCGTGGACTGGTGACCACATCTACTGACTGTTGTGTGGACTGGGGACCACATCTACTGACTGTTGTATGGACCGTTGACCACATCTACTGACTGTTGTATGGACCGTTGACCACATCTACTGACTGTTGTATGGACCGTTGACCACATCTACTGACTGTTGTGGAGACTGGTGACCACATCTACTGACTGGTGTGTGGACTGGTGACCACATCTACTGACCATTGTGTGGACCGGTGACCATGTCTACTGACCATTGTGTGGACCAGTGACCATGTTTACTGACCATTGTGTGGACTGGTGACCACATCTACTGCCTGTTGTGTGGACCGTTGACCACATCTACTGACTGTTGTGTGGACTGGTGACCACATCTACTGACCATTGTGTGGACCAGTGACCATGTCTACTGACCATTGTGTGGACTGGTGACCACATCTACTGACTGTTGTGTGGACCGTTAACCACATCTACTGACCACTGTGTGGACCGGTGACCGTGTTTACTGCCCATTGTGCAGACTGGTGACCATGTCTACTGACTGTTGTGCGGACCGTTGACCACATCTACTGACTGTTGTGTGGACCGTTGACCACATCTACTGACTGTTGCCTAGACTGGTGACCACATCTACTGACTGTTGTGTGGACCGTTGACCACATCTACTGACCATTGTGTGGACCGGTGACCATGTCTACTGACCGTTGTGTAGACCGGTGACCATGTCTACTGACCATTGTGTGGACCGGTGACCGTGTTTACTGACCATTGTGCAGACTGGTGACCATGTCTACTGACCATCGTGTGGACCAGTGACCATGACTTCTGATATACATATACCAGTCACCACTGTGAATGTTGATTAAACCTACTCTATTTTTGATTACTATAATTATTAAGCATAGTTTGATAGACATTTATGAACTGTGGGCTTCATCTTTATAAGTTGGACATTTTATTTTCTTGGTTCTTTATAAAATGTGTTCTGGACAAGTATGTGTCTATGAGTGGTCAGACCTACTGCTGTGATGTTCTATTAAGCAGTAATTGTATAGTGTATGCCTTGGGTGTTCAGACACAGTATATATATATATATTGTTGTTCTAATCTTGTTAAGTTTATTTTATTTTTGTGAGTCTAACTGATCTGGTACCTTAAAAACTACCAAGACAAACTACATCTACATAACGTTGCATATTAAAGCTGATTCTCTGTAGTATCACTGTATATTTAATATATGGGTTGAGCTATCTGGGTACAGTAACAGTTTGTGTTCTGACACTTTTCTCCAGTACTGTAATAACTTGCCAGACTATTAATTGCATTCAAGCTTGTCATTACAAGTCTTTTCTGTCTTTTTGTTATTATTTTTTTTTTGCAGAATTAAAGAAATTAGTCTAATATGTATCATTCCAATAAATCTTTGGTGCTCAATACACAATTTAGGACATATTATTAAACTATGCCATGTTGCAAAGCAGAGAGCCAGATGTACTTCCCCTCTCAAAATCAAACTTGGACTAGATATCTGTTACTTAGCCCTGTTTAGGTATCTCATTCTGTCTACTATATTACATATAACACTGTCTAGATCCATCCCTGTCCAATATACCCAGATTACTTCTAATATTGTACAAAGTTTTAAATGTGGAAATTTCATTCAGACCAAGATTTTCCTCTTTTTTTTTCTTCAAAAAGTTCCAATGAAGGATTAGTCAGTAGAATTGCTATTTTCTATGTATGCTAGTGTAATAATGCTTGTGCTTTTATCTTTGTACGCGCACTGCTACAGCCTTGTGTATGCTGGATTAGCTAGGAGAGAGAAGAAGTGCTAATGTGAGTTGTATGACTGGGAACAATTGTATTGGAACTCATTGCCTGAATAAAACATTTAAAACTGTCCAAGTTATTCCTTGTTATGACTTGTATTTGCTCTGGTACGTACTTTTTAACGTTCAGCATTTAGAGTAATGGCAACAACTGGTTAATCTTATATCAAAGATTTACCGTTTGATACGTACATTGTTTGTGTAGAAAGTAAAACCTTGATATCACATATTTCCACACTGACGAATCTTATTGAAGGAAAACTGGTTAATCTGTTGTCAGTATAATGTGACCAGGGGGAATGCAGGGCTGGGTGCCTTCAAACCTGTTGTCAGTATAATGTGACCAGGGGGAATGCAGGGCTGGGTGCCTTCAAACCTGTTGTCAGTATAATGTGACCAGGGGGAATGCAGGGCTGGGTGCCTTCAAACCTGTTGTCAGTATAATGTGACCAGGGGGAATGCAGGGCTGGGTGCCTTCAAACCTGTTGTCAGTATAATGTGACCAGGGGGAATGCAGGGCTGGGTGCCTTCAAACCTGTTGTCAGTATAATGTGACCAGGGGGAATGCAGGGCTGGGTGCCTTCAAACCTGTTGTCAGTATAATGTGACCAGGGGGAATGCAGGGCTGGGTGCCTTCAAACCTGTTGTCAGTATAATGTGACCAGGGGGAATGCAGGGCTGGGTGCCTTCAAACCTGTTGTCAGTATAATGTGACCAGGGGGAATGCAGGGCTGGGTGCCTTCAAACCTGTTGTCAGTATAATGTGACCAGGGGGAATGCAGGGCTGGGTGCCTTCAAACCTGTTGTCAGTATAATGTGACCAGGGGGAATGCAGGGCTGGGTGCCTTCAAACCTGTTGTCAGTATAATGTGACCAGGGGGAATGCAGGGCTGGGTGCCTTCAAACCTGTTGTCAGTATAATGTGACCAGGGGGAATGCAGGGCTGGGTGCCTTCAAACCTGTTGTCAGTATAATGTGACCAGGGGGAATGCAGGGCTGGGTGCCTTCAAACCTGTTGTCAGTATAATGTGACCAGGGGGAATGCAGGGCTGGGTGCCTTCAAACCTGTTGTCAGTATAATTTGACAAGGGGGAATGCAGGGCTGGGTGCCTTCAAACCTGTTGTAAGTATAATGTGACCAAGGGAGAATGCAGGACTGGGTGCCTTCAAACCTGTTGTCAGTATAATGTGACAAGGGGGAATGCAGGGCTGGGGGCCTTCAAACCTGTTGTCATTATAATGTGACCAGGGGGAATGCGGGGCTGGGTGCCTTCAAACATGTTGTCAGTGTAATGTGACCAGGGGGCATGCAGGGCTGGGTGCCTTCAAATCTGTTGTCAGTATAATGGGACCAGGGGGAATGCAGGGCTTGGTGCCTTCAAACCTGTTGACAGTATAATGTGACCAGGGTGAATGCAGGGCTGGGTTCCTTCAAACCTGTTGTCAGCATAATGTGACCAGGGGGAAAGCAGGGCTGTGTGCCTTCAAACCTGTTGTAAGGATAATGTGACCAGGGGGGATGCAGGGCTGGGTGCCTTCAACCCTGTTGTCAGTATAATGTGCCCAGGGGGAATGCAGGGCTGGGAGCCTTCAAACCTGTTGTCAGTATAATGTGACCAGGGGGAATGCAGGGCTTGGTGCCTTCAGCATGGTGTTTCAGCGAGTCTGCGCTATCAGGAGGAGGCAAGAACACCAACATACCCTGCCTCCAGCACAAACACATATACACGCACACAAAACACACATGGTGACACGTCCTTGGATTACCTTAGCTGTTTATAGGACGTTGACCAAAATAAAACAATAAAACAATTTAATCTACTCTGTGGAAACATGAATCTCATTTGTCCTTGTACCCTTGGTCCCAAGGCCAAAGCCAAGGTCACTGTTGCTGCTTATAGGTCAACTATTGTTATTTTGTCGACAGATTCCTTGTTATTAGTATACTGACTTAAAGGGTAGGTTGGGGGGGGNGTTCACGTTCTAAAGACATTTTCTAGTTTTGTAAATTTCAGAATAATTTACTAGATCAGAATGTATTGTAATTGAACAGTCTGTCCACGAATGCATGGAATTAAATTGGCATCTGTCAAGGTTGAAGATAACTCAATACCATTGAAAAAGTTTTTCGTCAAGACATGATACAGATCAAGATTTAACACTTGGAGTTAAAGGTACCTACTTACATTGTATGTTACAGTTTTTCATCCCAAATATTCAACTGGTCTGTAATCTATCCAATCCTGTCCATGTTGTCTTCATGTCACACAATTAAGCACCTACATTCAACAAAAACATGTTTATTGTATAAAAAGGGTTTATACCAAAGTGTAAAAAGGTTGGTCGCTTGACAGTGAATCGCATCTTCTATGCACAATGTGACATAGATTGGCCATTGACAGAAATCTAAAACGTTGTGGCATGTTCCTCTCATCAGCCGATGACACTGGTCACTTTGGGGGATAACAGTGTGTGAAACGGGACTGAAACGGCTTTGTTTAATTCATCTTTCCCTTTTTGTGTCGCCTGCGAAAAGCTGGTGACACATAGGTAAAAAATCACCTTACAGCTACTACTGTGCTAACAGTATCTGCAGGTCATAGTAGTGACTACCTTCTACACTACTCTTACTGATTTCTTCCCCCCACTGACCTTCACACTGTCCAATGGCATCATTTCTTTTCCATTAGCAAGTCAACTGTCGCATATATTGATGATATTTGTCAACAATGTACCTGACAGTCATTACATTAAGAAGCCACACGATATTCTGTTTATTATTGTTTGCTGTCAATGTGTAGTGAACAAGAATTTCAAACTTTCCCAAAATATAATTCACGCTCAAACCTGCTGTCTAATTGGACAGTTTGAGTAGTGAACAAAATTCAGTTTTTTTCCACACTAGACCAATATCTCCCACACTAAGACCCCATATGCGCGCAACCATTCGGTCAAACAAGAGGGATAAATTCATTAGTTGAAAACAAAAGAAAAGGCAAATTTGAATATTAGTTGTTGTATTATATCAAGTTTATATTGTACCAGGTTTCTACACGATGTTTCTATCGTACGTTTTGTATCTTAGCAACACATCCACAAAAACGCATTCAAAAATGGTCAATAGAAAACTAACAGAAGGTTGTAAGTGGTAGTTGTGTCTAAAGTTTTTTTATTATACTTTTGGTTTTTAGTATAACTACGTTAAATATTCTGCTATAATAGCGTTGAGGTCCAAAGTCCACTCAATACCAGGTTCAGTGAAGTCCAGCGGCCTCTAGTTAACGGCCGATCCACTAGTCCGCTAATAATGAGGAATAATAAATTAAGTCAATCGAAGAGATGGCTACGAAAACATCAGCCGGCCATTGGCTGTTTCAACTGTGGTGTTGTTGCTGATAGATACCGGGCTGTACAGAACTCTGTCGCCACAGATACCGGGCTGTACAGAACTCTGTCGCCCCAGATACAGGGCTGTACAGAACTCTGTCGCCACAGATACCGGGCTGTACAGAACTATGTCGCCACAGATACCGGGCTGTACAGAACTCGGTCGCCACAGATACCGGGCTGTACTGATCTCTGTCGCCACAGATACCGGGCTGTACAGAACTCTGACGCCATAGATACCGGGCTGTACAGAACTCTGTCGCCACAGATACCGGGCTGTACAGAACTCTGACGTCACAGATACAGGGCTGTACAGAACTCAGTCGCCACAGATACCGGGCTGTACAGAACTCTGTCGCCACAGATACCGGGCTGTACAGATCTCTGTCGCCACAGATACCGGACTGTACAGAACTGTACGGACGATGAGCTCAGGTTTGCCAGACGTGTCATTGTGACGGTCAGGTCGGGATCCCCATAAATGTGTCATTGTGACGGTCAGCTTGGGGTCCCCAGACGTGTCATTGAGACGGTCAGCTCAGGATCCACAGATATGTGTCATTTTGACGGTCAGCTCAGGATCCCCAGACATGTGTCATTTTGAAGGTCAGCTAAGGATCCTCAGTTATGTGTCATTTTGCCGGTCAGCTCAGGATCCACAGTTATGTGTCATTTTGACGATCAGCTCAGGATCCCCAGACATGTGTCATTGTGACGGTCAGCTCAGGATCCACAGATATGTGTCATTTTGACGGTCAGCTAAGGATCCACAGATATGTGTCATTTTGACGATCAGCTTAGGATCCACAGTTATGTGTCATTTTTACGGTCAGCTCAGGATCCCCAGACATGTGTCATTTTGACGGTCAGCTCAGGATCCCCAGACGTGTCATTGTGACGGTCAGCTAAAGATCCACAGATATGTGTCATTTTGACGGTCAGCTCAGGATCCCCAGACGTGTCATTGTGACAGTCAGTTCAGGATCCACAGATACGTGTCATTGTGACGGTCAGCTCAGGATCCACAGAAGTGTCATTGTGACGGTCTGCTAAAGATCCACAGATATGTGTCATTTTGACGGTCAGCTCAGGATCCCCAGACGTGTCATTGTGACGGCCAGCTCAGGATCCACAGATACGTGTCATTGTGACGGTCAGCTCAGGATCCCCAGACGTGTCATTGTGACGGTCAGCTCAGGATCCACAGATATGTGTCATTGTGACGGTCAGCTCAGGATCCACAGATATGTGTCATTTATACGGTTAGCACCCTATCTTTCAGATCTTGAGTTTTTTCTGTAAAACCAACCACCAGATCCTAGATAGTTCAATTCTCTGGGCCACAACTACACAGGTGGTTTTTTTCGAAGTATCTTGAACTGTCCTCTCATCATTAGACCGCGTATATATATATATATGACACGCTCTATTACCATCTGGATCAACATGTTTTGACGGCAAGCTCGATATTTTGATTGGGAGTTCAAGTTTCCTCTGGCCATTCAACGTCCTTAGCCCGAGACACGTTAGCACAGCACCATTAATTTCGTTGGTTATGGGGGAAAACAAACTAATAAATCATATAATAAATTTCCATTTAATTGGTTTTATTTTATTATATATAATGTAAAATGTGTGTAGGTTTTTGCAGAGTTTGTTGTTGTTTCTGACTGGGTTGATAATAAGCTATGTA